TTTTTTTTTTTAGACTATGAGTGGAAACCGCTTTTCCTACAATATATTGCTAAATGTCATGTGCTTGTCATATCTATGGCATTAGGCGGAAATTACAATTCTGTGTTATTTTTAATCCAGGGCGAAGAAAAGTCTCATTATTTGTCTATAAGTCATTATGTTCAAATTCTGATTGATCATCCATCTTCATTTGAAATTTTTAATCACATCAGCATCAAGGCCTGTAACCACAGTTAGGTTTAAAACCCACATCAGAGTGGGGCTTGCAATGCATGATTCTTGCAGTAATGTTCATGTAGGGCTAACATAAACAACAGGCGCTACTGGCCATTTAAAAATGTGCATTCCTCTTCTACCACACATCTTTACTAAGAGCTACCTATCCTACATTTACTTTGACGTTCATTTTACAGTGAATTGGGCTTGAAAGGCAATTACCTGGAATCACAGCAATGCATGCCCAACCAGTCACCAAAACACCTTTGAAATGTATACCTTAATCAGTTATCTGTGAAAACACAGGTCTGCGTGGATCTATAAACCATTCAGGGAGTCAAAAAGTACACTGTGTTCCATTCCAATAAACAGCAGACATCTCACATGTGGTGCGGGCTCTCATCATTACCAAACAATAAGTAAACTTAGATGCATTCACCTAAACATACCTTATAGTGTAACTATCTATAACCTGCTGATTTTTTTAATGTCTGCCAAGTTGAATGAGAAGTTACTTCATAAAAAAAATTCAATATTCTAATCACCCTTATTAGCTCAGAAAAAGTCTGGAATACACTGTAACATTGAATATGACACTATAAAGCCAAATATGGGAACTTTGGAGGTATGTTTTTCTGCCTTCACTGCCTTTGCTGTACGGGGCTTGTAATAGGAATTATTAATGGATCCACAAAATAAAGGAAATGTTTTGTGGCTTCCTATCTTTTCTACATCTCCTGTGGCAAACATTGGCACACTTCCATTTAGTTCAAACTCTCCAAACTTTCAAATGCCTCAGGGGATGATCAGTTTATCGGTGCTCTTGGACTGGTTCTGAATATCTCCAAAGGTAATTTTTTGTAAGCCCCTTTGACTAATGCAATTTTTTCTCTTTGCCAAGGCTAACTTTTTTTTGCAAATGCCAACCTTTTAAAGTCTGATCATCTCTGCCACTTGCCTTAAGGTCATCCCAACATGTGTACATGCAGGGAACTCCAGTGACTAACTAGATCTAGCTGTCACTTCTACCCTCCTCTAACACACCCTTGCAATAAAAATTACAAATAAATATGGAAATTAAACTTTTACACATTGCAATCCCAACAGTGTGTGTAATATTTGGATATAAGGTGTATTTCAGAACCATCCTAATAATTCATTTCCCATTTTTTTTTATCTCCAGGGGACAATGTACGTTTGAAGGAAAGTTGTTGAATAGGAAACTGGGTAAAAAGAATAGTTTAATTTTCATCAAATGATGTGTGGCAACCTCACCTTGTAGGTCAAAGAGTGAATACCACAAGGATTACACCTACATGTATGTTTGACACTTTTTGTTGGCATACTTGTTTCAAAGGCTGGGTTGCTTGAGAATATGTGTGAGTGAGGGAGTTAGTTTAGATTCAATGGAATAGTCTTTGGTAACATACCGGTATCTTCCTTTGTAAGCTGTGTGTGTGTATATTTTTTACTCAGTTCTCAATCTAAAGTGCATGAAAATTAACATCTCTCTAATTCAAGCCATACAGAATAAATGTCGCAACCACAATAGTAAAATAAGTAAAAAAAAAAAAATGTAAAAGGTTACTTCCAGTATTCCAAAACAAAATAAGGTACAATTCTGATACAATTTTAATATGTAACTACCCTTTACAAAGCACAATATGTTGGGCTTATGGAAGCAATAAATTACAGGACTGCAAAATGTGCCAATAACTTTTATGGCAACTGACCAATCATACTGGTTTTTTAATTTAACTGGCTTTTTTATCAAATAAAGTTCCCTGGAATATTTAAAGTAAAAAATATATGTTAATTAGCAGTTATGAGGTGAACATTTCGCAAATACATGCCATTCAACTACACCAAAAAAATTCATCAACACTGCTCAAATTTTCTTACTCAGCCTGCATTTTTAGCCTAACAAAGCCTTCTAGAAAATCTAAAATATACAAGATAGATGGTTTGACTGTGTCCGTACACATAAAAGTCAGGCTAACCAGCAGATTTTTCCTTCCAAGCTTGTTCTGAACACACCTCTTATCTAATCCATATGCTAGATACACAGTAGTGTGGTTATGTTTTCCAAGAAAACAGGGCAGTGGGAGTAAAATCTGAAGTCAATTTGTCACATCTTGACTAAAAAGTTATTCATACAACAGGAAAGGGAAACCATGTTTTGCTTGACATCCTGTAATCGTGTTAAAATGTGCACTGTTCATTGTAAAGCGTACATAAACTGCAGGCCTATTGAAGTAAAAAAAATTAAAAAGGTGTTTGATAAACCATTTAATGAATAGCAGCACTTCTAGGACCCTAAGCACTGTACATTTTCCTTAACCTCAAGATTAATGCTTCAACTAAGACAGCTTGCACATGTATAAGCATTAAATGTGGGACCACCTTACAATTTTTCAGTATTGCTGATAAAAAACATTAATATTCTTTGAGCCTATCTGGTCACTCATTTGATAAGCCTTGTCTTACAAGTTCAAACCAATAGGAGTGTTTTGATATAACATGTAAGTTTTAATACAAATCATTCAGTAAAACTACCAGTTATGCATTCTGGAGTTGATTCTAGTTTTATGATGTTCTTGCATGTGACATGTTTGCAACTGATTTTACACCACCCTGTACTTCCCCTTATTATTTAACTTTGTACAATACTTACCCATCTATCCTGAAGCAGCAGATTCCACATGGATGGTTGGTACCACGCACATACTTGGGTTCAACTGGACAATCTGGGTGCTCAATGCTTCCAGCTGAGATGAAAAAGTACAGGTATAATTAATAAAGCTGTCTTTTAATTTTCAGCTGTTGCAAGGATGAAAGTGCATTTTTCTGATTGTTAATAGCATATAATACTGTCCCATGAGTGAACTACTGAACACTGGTGACATTTTTTATATTACTATTGACAAAAAATGATACATTAAAAGTTAAGTTTTTCTCAATAGATATACCAACAGTGTCGATTGCTTGGGTGAGTGTAAGAAGAGTGTAAGAAGTACTTGTGTCAGCTGTGAACATCTGGAGCAATTTTGCTGTATACTAACTTTTCACTTTAAGTCAAAATTGTGTGGTTACAGTTCAATTGTATAACATTCCATTTAAGGTAACAGCAGAATTAAAGTTGGGCTGGATTTTCTTTTTCTTTTTTCTAATATTTAGTTTACAAAGTATCACAAAAATGGTCCAACTGCATTGTATATCCTTCACTGCCTGCTAACCTACAGGGCAAGTGGATTATGAGTGCAGAATATGAGCTTCATAGGTCAAATAGCCATTACTCTTGTGATCTATTAGCCATCAATCATCTGGGAGAAGACATACTGGCCCCAGCTCCTGTGCCAGACACACCCTATTTTAGTTCCCTTCTGGACAAATTACAGGGAAGAGTTCTGTGCTAAAGAAATATAAATCTTATCAGTGTGAGCAGGGGTCACTTATCCCCTCACTTATCTCTGCTCATCAGTCTCCAGTTGACTAATGTCAGCCTAACTACATTAGAAGAATGTTTGTTGTGCCCAGACAAAAATTACATGGCCTGTTCACGCTAATATCTAACCCAGGTGAAATCACAACTGAACCAACACATGACATCCACCATACTCAAACAGGTAGGAGTACATGTACATAAACAAAAAAAGATAGGTATACTCTAACTCTTTCAATCTAGCAGCTTGACTGCAATCAACTCTATTAGCTTGGAGTTCATCTGGGATGATCTAGCCAGCCACTGGCTTTTTGGGGACCGATATCTATGTGATTTAAGTGTGAATACACCCATAACTTGACCATAGCATGCTGCACACTGACCAGTAATGCACCCATGATTTGACCACAGCATGCTGCACACTGACCAGTAATGCACCCATGATTTGACCATAGCATGCTGCACACTGACCAGTAATGCACCCACGATTTGACCATATCATGTTGCACACTGACCAGTAATGCACCCATAATTTGACCATATCATGCTGCACACTGACCAGTAATGCACCAGTAATTTGACCATATCATGCTGCACACTGACCAGTAATGCACCAGTAATTTGACATATCATGCTGCACACTGACAAGTAGTATATCACATATCTAAAAATGATTCTTATCTATTCATCAACTGTAAAACAAAGGCAGGAAGGAAAAAGATAACTGTCTGTTTACATTTTCTTTGTTGTGTAATTTCCTTCAACCTAAGCATTTGAACATTGACTTAAGCATATCATCATCATCATTTCAGTACAATGACAATTTCCCATTTCAATGTTATAACTTATAGGATAAAATATACACAGAATTGCCAATTACCAGTAAAGCTCTTTAAATATACAGAATTATTGTTCAATTTGCATGAATTAACAAACTGCACATGTCAACAACTGGATGCCAAAGGAGAGAAAAGATGTAATTTGCACATGTTCAAGATACCCCCAAAAAGTCTAAGGCTGACAACCCCTGCACATGTAGTACACAAGTTGAACAATCTTCATCTCTTCTAGCATTACTGTTTTAAAGCAGCTTTTTAACTGCAAACAACATGTTGTTTCTGAAACAAGATACGATTACATGGATATCTACACTCTGCTTTCTTAACCTCACAAATGTTGCCATATTTCTGAACACTGTGCATTTACCTGGTACCTTAAATTGATAAATAACCACACTGTTTGGGATGGCATTATCTCTGAGCCCCAGACCCTGGTTCACTGATTGCAAAGAAAACAATCAGATGGGCTGCCATTGTTTTGACTGGACACTGGCCAGTCAATTGGAAAACTGACCCTATGCCCTTTGCTGAAGATTCAATTAACTGCAGAATACAGCATATATAAATAAACTACTTGTGCTATCATATCTTCAGTAAACAGAGAATCCAATACTGATACACTGTGAAGAGGAAAAGCCAGTAGATATGGGTTTTTAAAAAGCTTCTTGTTTTTATTGTTGTACATTAATTCCTTATAAAATACCTGCGTAACCCTTAGACAAAATACAAATGTCTGAGTAATTGTCAAATATGTCTCCTTTACAAAATTTGTTTAGAAAAAAAAAGTAATAATTGGGTATAATTCAAACACATCTTGTTAGATACATTCCAAAAACAATAAATAAATAAATAAATAAATAAATAAATAAATAAAAGGTCAATTTGACATCTTTGGCCTCATTATATGGAACATTAAGCTTAAGTTAAGCAATCTGGATTGAACTAATGTTTTCAAACTATCTAGAATAATGGTCAAGTGCTCTCTCAATTGGGTGCAACTTCATTAGAAGGACCTGGTGACAGTTACAAGACTACACACATTCACACAGACTGTGAAACACAAAAACACACTTATAACTGTATATCAGCACCACCATCATCACTGATAAACTACCAAGAGGTCCATCAAAAGGCAATTATGGTCAGGGAATAAGTCACCCACCTCTCAGCCACAGATATAAAGACAGAATATATTACACTGTATATAGGACACTTGCTGTGAGTGCAATACTGGTGATTGATCAATAAAAGAGCAAGTCATAATGGGGTGTAGAATAGTGTCAAGTTTTGGGTTAACTATATGTATACAATGCTAGCTAGTACACAGTTTTGGGACATTTTATATAACTATTAAGGTGTGTGTAAAGGAAAGCCTAGGCTTAGTACACTTACTTTTTAACTACTGATGAACTGAGAACAATCAGGGGCAAATTAGCATAATTATAAGAGTTAAACTAATTGAAAGTTATACTGGGGTAATTACACATGATGTTAATATGGATTCAAAATATACATGTCCCACAGGGGTATAAACTTGCTGTGCAATTTTCTTATATGATATCAGTAGAATTCTGGAGTAGCATACCAACTGTGCAAATGGAATTTTCGTTCTTGACTGTTAGACACAAGTCCAGGAAATCTCTGGGGGAGATCAGACCCATTGCCGCACTGTGGGTGCAGGTACGCATCACACTGAGACCCTGAAATTATAAAATATTTTGTAACATAAGTGTAACTAATGGCTGGATAAAAATTAAGAAATTGCCCACTTTTTATTTCTTCAGTTGTGAAAATTATGAAACAAAATACCAAAATTTAGTGGTGAAATTATGAATAATGACAAGGTTATACCTGAATAAAAATATTAGTATCATGACAACCTAATCAATGGCTATTTGTAATGTCTTTTCCCAGCTAGCATTTGACTGACGGGATGGAGTCTTTTAAAAGGCAGGTCAAGCAGTGGGAAAAATTAACAAGAAATAATAGGAAAAATAAGATCCCAATGTTTAATTTCAGCATTTAGCAATGTAATAAATCAAAGGATGGGGCCTTTATCTTACACCCTGGTAAATAACTATAAATTACATGCTTGTCTAAATGACCTTTTGTAAAATGAAGAAAAGAAAACCTATGGAAAACACAATATTGCACAACTTTAGATTATATAAAAACCCCTTCCACACCAGAGAAATGATGCATAACCATATGTAGGAAATATGCACTATAATTGTTAATCAGGTTAATGTTTATGGCTTACAAAAGGTCAATCAGACTTTTTTCTAGACAAAAGACCATAGGCATCCACATAGAAAAATAAACAATGACAGTATGAACTTTCAGCCTAAACATACCAGTACATGTATGTATCTATTTGTGTTATTCCCCAGAAGTTTTGGCCCTTAGGTCCTGTCTGTCTGTATGCTGACAGATTTTGATTAAATTTTCAAAACCTGTAGGCAGTTGACCAAGTTTTTAAACAATAAGTTTTTAGTTCTGATATCTTATTTAATAATAATTAAAACCAGTTATCTGTCTGACTGTCTGTTAGGGACATTACTGAGCTCTCTCAGTGCTTTGCTGCTGTTATTCACCTTATACTTGATGTACCACTATACCAGACAAATAAATTAGGGTATGCAGGATGCTGGTTGGGTAAGGTTCATCCTGTACATGTTTGAGGTATTTTGAACAAGATACTAGAACATGTACCTTTCCAAACTGCTACTTCCACTGCTAACTCATGGCAGTGACTCATGAGACACTAATTACATTTCAGTGGTAGTACTGTCCTAGGAACCCCAAACCACATCCACAATCTGCATGAACCACATACAGTACTAGTAGGCAGGATTGCAGTTTATCACCATGTTCAAGGATAATAAAAGCCATTATATTATCAGCAACTCAATTTACCCATTCATCATCTGCCCACTTACAGACAAGCCAGGCATTGACAATGAATTTATATAAGCAATATGGATTTCAGAATTTTCCCACAAAGTGAATCACATAGGATCTGTATTCTCTCCCAAGGGTGTATTCAGACAACAATTCAATATTGCAACTGCTGCATTGGTTTTCTAATTTGCATTGTGCCTGCTCCCAAGACATGGAGTTCATATTCGAATTTGCTGATGTCTATTAGAGTATTTCCAATCTTGATGGGGTTAAAACAGTGCTTTTCTCAAGCAGGCTGAGGCAATGTTTTATTTTCTTAGCCTGGTATCCCAGAACATTACTTATACTACACACCTTTACATCAAAATTAATCACAGCTTCCTGCTACCAGCAGAGTGCAAGGAACATAAAACAGGAATTGTTGAGACCGGATATTTCCCAGTCCCCATTACATTTTTAAAACATGAAATTTCGTAAATCTGCTTTACTCATTTTCAAAAGGAAACTCTGTGAAGTATTTATTTCTGAAATGTTACAAAAATCTTATAAAATCCAACAGGAAATGAAATCTGATTTTTTAACTTTAGCACCACTGAAAGACAAACTGTCATTTTCAAGAAATAAGGAGTACTGTTGTAGAATCATTTTTTTTTTAAATGGGAGCACAAAAGGTGCAAGTTTACACGTCATAGGGCAACCCTGAACCTACTCAGACCACCCCTGCTGAGGTTACGAGGCACAGATCTATAATCTTATAATTCTCCACTTATCTATTCATTCGATGTGACTTATGCTCCTATATTGCCATGGGCTAGAATACAATATCTCTTATCTGCATCTTAAAACTACACACAGGTAGTTTCTGAGCTAGACGTGGTACATGCAGACACAGTAACTCAGATGAAAGGAATTCCTTAGTGCAGGGAGCAATAATTGGCAGGTATATGATGGATAATTGTGCAGCCTCAAGTATGCTCCATTAGGCATCAAATTGTGAGTGGAAGGACTATCCTATTTGAGTGCATTTGAAAACTTGCAGTTGGAATAAAAAACAGTGAGATTAAAGAAGGGACTTAATTGTCAAGTCAGAAACATTAAAATGTCTCTACCATCAAAATAAAAAGAACTAACAAAATTTTAGGAAAATAAAAATAGTTGTGCATATGATAGCATTACATCTTAAATATATACATCTTGTAGTGTATCAGAGTTGATGGCGTCAATCATTCAACATACTAAATGGTCACTGTGGCCAAAAGTCTTTCCATTCAGCCTACTTTTTAAAAGTACTTGAACAAGATCTCTTTTTCAGATAACAAGTAATGGTAATTGTACCAGACAGAAACAAGCTATGCTTCATGTACATAGACAAATGCACTTTGAGTTCTTTGTACAAGCTAAGTAGCTCATGGATGAATAATGTCTCAAGTCACTAGGTGCTGACATCCCAGAAGTTTCAACTTATCTCGACCTGCATTTAATGTTTCAAGAAGCGCACACCCTGGTGAGTTATTTTACTTAAACCATGTCACCTTATATCAAGTAAGGTTTCAATTTGTACTGACGGATGAGTTCAGGTTTACAGAACATCATTATTGGTTCTTCGAATTGCAATTTTGCACCTGTAAAAGTATGTCCTTGTATACCTGGGGAGCCCAGGTAAAAACCCATTAACCTACTCTATCAAAGAAAAATGCAGAAGACTGATTGATGAAAGTGTCAACTTCCTGACTGTAGGAGCATTTTTCAAAGATAATTTATGGACCAAAAAGAAAATTGATGAAAAAAATTATGGTGCTGAATTCCAGTATCCCTTTCAAGCCTTTCTTTTCTAAAAGTAGCGGTGGTTCTGCATTCTTTGAGAAGGATTCAATATGAAGAACACACAAGAGTCGATTTAGCAATGGCTTGCTACTGATAAATTGCATTTAAGAACATTATACCAATAATAAATCTGGTTATTCAAGACAAGCTACAGTTTGCTGACCTTTCTCAATAAATTCAGATAAAATCTGCTGCAATATCTTTGAAAAAAATATTGTTCATTATTCCTACAATTTGGATTTTAAAAATTGTGAACAGAAAAGTGTGAAGAGTTACCAACATGACAGTACTCAAAATGTAATGTCTAACATCTTATTAACAATACAATAACACTGTGAACATCAGAAGTATTTCATAAATGACGTGTAGAATATGCATAAAAATTTAATGTGTACAGTTGTAACTAAAATGATAAATAAATCTTAAAAAAAAAACACTTGGGGAAAAAACATAATTTAAAATTTGTGAGTAATCACAATATGATATGCTCACACACACACATAAAAAACTATAGAAAATTTTCACATCTCTGACACTGGCACCCAAAGATTTTGTGTTCAAATAAGTACAGTACACTTTATGTTAAAAAAAGTGCATGTACCTCTTCTATCTTTTCTATGGTGTCAACTGCCTTGATTGCCTTGTCCCATTTTGGCCTTAGTCCATCTGGCTTAGGTTCAACATATTCAAACACCTTTTCTGGCTTAGCATCAACTGTGCCTTCAGCTTTGTAACTGAAATGGGAAAAGTGGAATAAAATAGTGAAATTATCAAAAATTATTCCCTGACTCTACTAATTTACTGAACTACATGAACATATTTGTTAAGTTACTTCTAAAATTCATATGAAAAAAACAAAACAAAAATAAAACATTCAAAACAAAACATGTTTGTTGAATTGTATGTACCTTTTTTGAAAAAAATCTTAATATGAGTAGGTTTGTTACTATTTCTTATGTACAATGCACCTCATTATACTAAGGTTTAGTGAAAGGATACTTCATTATGTGATATAACCAAAAATCAATCCATACACTTATGTTCATAATATACTTCATTCAGGACTCTGCACTATCTCTGAAAATTCCAATTAAAAACTAGTGAGTAATTTCAACAACTGATTAAGCTTATTCACAAGCAATTTGAGAGATAAGTCAATCTTCCCATGACAGCTTTCACACCAAAATGTACACAATTGCTACAAACCAAACATACTAAAAATGTTCAATACATATTTCCAGGAACAATGTTTTAGCTGTTGTATTATTTCAATGGCTAGGATAAGCACTTTGATGTGTTTAATTTCCAAGCAAATCCAGAAATCAATACAGATGTCTGCTCTATTCTGTCTGGAATAAGTTTAAAAAGCCGACTGTTTCTTTCTTGAGCATGCACACTATTGATCAGGACCCCATATCTTTTTCAGCCAGCCAGACATTCCCATCTCCCTATTGATTTTCTGAATCAGACTTTTATAACTTTTTAAAATAGTAACGGTCACAAATTTCTGATTATCCCACTTGGGTTTGCTGGAGGATCATCAGACTTCCAAACATAAAAAACATTTAGATTTGCCAGACATGTTTGACATTTAGTTTTTCTTGTAATCACATACTGAAGTATCGGGTCACCTTTTTCTGCTAGTCTAAACGTGTCAAGAAATCTTATCTACTACCAGCTCTTCAAAGTTCTCTAGGTCATCCATTCAAGAAGATGGATAGAGTATGAGCATGAAATACAGCTGTTTCATTCTTAGGCTTTGAATTTTAATGCAAGCTATATCAACCGTCCATCATTTTTCTATCTCCTATGGGGTGGTCTTTTAGACTCAATTGACAACCAGTCATATTCAAGGCCTACAGGTTTTAATTTCATTCATAAAATGCCCAAGCAGTTACTGCAATATCTAAAACATATCTCGAGACTTCAGGTCATTGTACTCTTTTGCATACACCTTGGTCAATTTGAAGGAAATAATTAAAAAGTTATATAAGCATTAAGTCACACTATGACTACCTTCTGTGGTAACATAGTCAATTGAGCACAGGCATGCTGTATTCCAGACCCCTTTCTATTCAAAGGGCCACAAGTCAGTAGGTACATTAATCCCATTTACTACTTGTGTTTACCAATGTATTATCACATACAGAAGCAGTGTAAACATGTCAACTTACATATTGCCTTGGAATTCAGTGGAGGACCGACAATACACAGTCACGTCTTTCTGGAGACAGAAAAGGTAAGAAAAATATTAAACTTACAAATACAGAAATGGCAGAGTTATGAACACAGGTCACATCAGACACTGGAAAATGAAATAAGCAGAAATATGTAGGGTCATGAAACATGATCAGGTGTTGGGTGTTTTATTCACAAATAAAGTCGGTAATCTTGGTAATGATTTATTTAACCTCTGTCTAAGAAATTTGATTCCCAGCATAACACAGATATGGTTAAAAAGCTCCCCAGCACAAGGTATCCAAACATTCAAATCTGTGTGCATTGTATTCAGATGCTATCAGTGATAACACAGGCTAATTTCCTGCACCTGAGAAACCCAAATACTTTGGTAATTTTATTTTCACATTCTGTAATTGGAAGCTCTTGGCTTTCAGTGTCCAACCATGTTGCGCTAGACTGTTTCTAAAATCTATCCATTCATGTATTGGCAGGCATAAGCGTGAAAGGCATTACACATGTTGGTCACTTAAAAAAGGATTGCTTTAAGGCAACAACCTAAATCTTTTCAGTCAACAAAACTTCATTCTTTAAGTCATAGATCAGCTTCATGCCTAGTAGCAGCACAAAGACTTATCAATCCATACTATAGTAAATACTCACTTAATTCCCTGATACCCTTCATTGCTGGAATTATTTAGATTAGTAAGCCAAGTAAGTGGGCTGGTCTTATCTCAATGCTGCATTCCAGAGAAAAAACTCATTTTTGTTAATTCTAAAAATAACTGTTTTCTAAAAGGTTTATTGTTTTAAAATATTCAGATGGAATGCGTGTTGCTTCAAATATCAATCACTGATCATAAGATTAGAAAATGAATTGTGCTTCACGGTAAAAAGCAAGTTCTCTCTGATTTGACGAGCGAGTTTGGTGTAGGTAATTATCCTTTATATAAATTTCATGAATGAGCAGAACATTTGGTTTGTGTGTAATTCTTCAATCAAATCAAAGGTTAAAGGTGGAGAACCCATGCCTATTGGCTCAGCACTTAATATTTATCATCATATTTGAATTCCAGTTAAAAATGACTTCATTTCAAAATGTCATTCAAACGGGAATAAAATACACAAGGTGCTTCCAAAATTTCCCCGAAGCATTCCTATATCCAGAAAAGGCAATTATAACATCATTTCAAGCAATAGAACTGATATGGAGGTAATTTAAAACGTTAAATACCTTTTGTTTACAGTATATTAGACGCTTTATGTATATACAACAGGGCCAGCTTTTAGAAATTTGGCCATCTGGCGATTTGGCCGAAAATCTTAGCAGACGACGCACCACTTACCCCTTTCTTAACAACTTTCCAATTTTCATGATCAGTTGTATATTCCTCTATTTTCTTCTTTATTTGCTCCGCCAACTCTTGTTTATCCATTGCAGTGTGTCAGGATCGGAATGCTTCCAGAGGAACTGTGGACAATGCGCTGCCGGCAGAGTGAGCCGTGCACTGAATTAAAATCACACATGCTTGCCGACGAGTATAAACTCTGACGTAACATCCGGCGCTGAAAAGTTTGAGTGCGCATGTGCCATTGTAACTTCCTAAACCATGTACTAGTAAATATTCTCGACGTTTCGTCACCAAAAATGAATTTAGACGACATACTCCGGTCCTTTTTCGGCATTCCTGGGAGAGATCGAAATGATAACCGAAGGTGCAGTGGTTTGGATGTCTTTCTAGATGCTCGATGAACAGAGAATAGATTTTGACTGCTGTACAGGTCTTGGTCAATTTTCCAAGCTGTCAGATTATTATTACAATTGTTTAGGACCAACAAAGCAATACCTAGCGCTAACATTTATCCGCTCTGGTAGTGCTGGTTCATTTGTGGGTTATTTGTTTAACATGGTTGTTAGTGCTAAAATGTCAGCGGGTAGTGTTAGTAAATGTGTAATCTGCCTGAAAATTCCCTTTTGAATTGTACTTGGGATGTCTTGCTGAATTTTACATGACCAAGTAGTTTCATTCTTCATTAGACTGACTTTATTTGATGGTAGTACCAAGTATGATGCCATTTAATTATGAACTCCACTTGATAGGAGGAGTCTGCCTGCAGTCTGAATCTATTATATGTGTATGACAGTTAACAGACTGGTTACAAAAATACCACATCCTTCACATGTAATGTATTCAAAAAGTAGCTTCTCTTTTTTTTTTTTTTTTTTTTTTTGCATAGTGTGCCAGCTATTTCAGACTAGATATTTGATCCAGATTAAAAAGGAATTTGTGAATACAAGATAGAAACATCCATTTATCTTTCTAACCAAATGAGAGTTGTTGCTAGACTGAAGCTGCACTGGCACCAGCATTTGAGTCCAGTGTTTAAGCAGTCTAGATTTATGTGAAAACATCGGTATGTATGAAATGCACTTGCACCTGTAGTTACATACACACACAAGTAGTATTAGCTTTTGCTTGACACAACTGTGAACTTGTTATTCATATACTCCCTGTCATAATCATCTGTCCCATGTCATTATTTTTGTAGCCCACTCTTTAGACCTTTGTATGAAGATGATGAGGAGGATGACTTTGATGAGTTCCGTACCCACTTCCCAAGTTTTGGACATGGAAGTGGAATATTTAGACAATTTGAGGATATGTTTCGCCAAATGGAGGAAGAATTTCGAGGAATGGGTATTGACAGGCCTGGACCAGGAATGATGCCAGGTAATGGTAATATTTTGTTTTTCAACAGTAGTCAAATTAATTCTGAAATTTTTCTTTGATTTTTAAATTTTCTCTCGTCTAAAAATTTACTGTTAATAAATTGAAATAATTGAGCAAACAAAACTGTGTTCTAAAGTTCTTAGGTCCAGGATAAGGTCCAAATTGCATTTTTATACCATATTGTAAACTTACATTGATTTCTAATCAGGTTTGCCGCCAGATGCACCACAAAGGAGTCCAGGCCACCTCAGAGATTATATGCTGAAACAACCAGATGAAGACACATCCAGAGTAAGTAGATTTCAAAGACCTGTCACAGTTAAATCTAGTTTTGTATAGTTTTAATCTATAAATAAATGGGTTTTTAAGGAAAATTTAAGAGTTCTTTTTATTTATTTTATGAGTTGTTTAGAAGTTGGTAAGAAAGGCATGCAGATGAACTGAAAAGCATATGGTGTCTGCAGTATGATGTGATTTCAGTTTAATTTTCACACTTTTTCATCATTTCAGTTGAATCCTACACCATACAGTTCAGAGGAGAGGGAAGATAAAGGTAACTGAAACACGTTTCTTGCTGCTGAACCTGGTGAAGAGTCAAATAATACATACTTTTCATTTCAAATAACAATTTAAAGCAAGTCTAACAAATACATGTATAGTGGGTGTCCAATATTACAATTTATTGCCTATGTTCTAATTCTAGACTTAGATGCTGATGTGCGTTCTAAAGGATTAGATGCTGTTCTGAGAGGACTTCCGTCTTTTAAGGAACCTCCACATCAAAGAGATGAGGAGCCAAGAGTTACACCTAATCAACCATCTTTTAGATCTTTTGGGTCATCATCTTCTTTTGTTACCATAAGAGGGGCTGATGGGGTAAGATCACAGTTACAGGCTAACCATGCGTTTAATCTAACAATCTTCATGCTTTGTTTTTCACTTAATAAATTAAGTGTTGTGAATCTTAGGCCACTGGTCTCCTACTTTGGTCAGGGAATTTGGAACCTTGCTGGCTTTGAGGTTTTTAAAAATAATTTCCCCAAAGTATGCCGTACTACTCAATTTGCAAGAAGACCAGAAACCTGGTTGAATAAAATGTGAAATTGTCAGAATTTCTCTTTTATTCAATTTTTGCATAACTGTTTAGAAGTATATACCATTTGTTTATGAGCAAAATGTACCCAGACTTAACAACTGGGAATAAATTCGCATCAAATGCTAGTCAACATTTACTTTATGAATTTTGGTCAAATAAGTGTGAAGTCAAACCAGTAACTCTTTGACTTACTAGTAACTGGCCTGTGCATAAGTAGCACATGATGATGTTCTTTCCCAATGATTAATTCACTAGTAAAGCTTACAGATTAATTACAGCAGTGTTCAAATTATTTCAAAGCACGACAAAAATGGCTTCCAAAATCTGTAAAATGTTTTTTTTTTTTTCCTTTTAAAGAAAATTGAACAAAGGAAGACGGTGAGAGACAGTGAGGGGAACGAGGAAACAACAGTCATTAGGCAAATTGGTGATAAGACACATACAATTATCACACACAGGGACAAATATGGGAGAGAACAAGTGCAGGAAGATTACAAAAATATAGAAGGGAGTAAGTTTTTTAAATGTATTTGTCTTATATGTAGAGGACACTATGATATAACTTTTTGAGGGTTTTTATCACCCAGGGTAAAGTTACACGTAATTCAACATCAAATTTTTCACATTTTGTTTTACCTGATTCTATGTCCTTGACATTTACAATAATAAATATAACATACTTGGTTTCAGGTGAACTTCCAAACTTTGACTCTAAGTGGCAGGGCCAGGGAAGAATGAATGAATCCAATGACCCAAGAAACCAACTAATCAAGCCTGAACATGACAGTTCAATGTTTGGTCGAGGCTTTTTAAGCAACATTTTTGAAAAATTCTATTCCAAATTCCCATTTAAAAAGGATGACAGATAAGGAAATGTATTGAACTCGATTATTTATTTGCAGTCATTATTGCCACTTGATTATTTGCATTGTTTTGGGTCATACAAAGTGCTGAAGTGAAATACATTTGGTGAACTGAAAAATATGGTGCTTTCTCTAACAAGCTTGTAAGATCTTGACAAAAATGTTTTTGTTGATTAATAAAATATGAGAAATCCATTTTGACTTTATTTTGTACAACTGTACAGCTAAACATTTTATTGAACATTATTACAATTCCACACCCTTTGTGCAGAAAGGCCAAGTGGAACAAATTTCCAAGTTACACCTTGCTTGCAGCAAACTCTGTCTTTTAGTTGATTATTCACATAAATATGCCAGTTCATACTTCTGCGTAACTTGATACATTTAACAAGCCACATCTGGTTCAGCATTACAGGCAGTACAGAGATCAACTTCAGTCTTTGTCAATTATCTGTAAAATTGTCAATTTATGAAATACTCCAAAACATCTGACCATCTGCCTTCACCTCCGACTTGATGATGGTAAAGTTGCTGAGGGAGCTTCAATGGGATTACAGCTAAAATGAAAAGGAAAATGTAGCTTAACCCACCAAAAAATAAATTTGATGTATTTCATCGGGCCGCTTCCTAAAAGGAAAACATCACTTTTTGAGGTCTAAAAATGAATAAAATGATAATAACTGGCCATTCACAGTTATTTTCCATTCTCTTTGACCACTTCAAATGTGCTAATGAGAAAAGGGTATTGATGTTACTGGTACCCACTTATAGCATACTACAGCAAAGATGCCATTAAATTTGGTGTGAAGCACACTGTTACGGGCAAAGATCTACTCTAAGACTGTCACTAGTGACAACAATACTATTTTCTCTTGTCTATCCCTGAGGTGATCAAAATGGACAAAAATTGATCTGATTTGATACTGTTTTATAAATTATTTCTATTTCGGTGTTGTTCCATTACAAGAACAAACAAAACGTAGATAACATAATCCTGAAAACACCGATCTTGTGTTTCCATTTAACATATCCAAGTTTTATTAGGTTATATTGTTATGATTGGTTTATGACGTCATGTTAGAACTTCCAAGAAAAAACTTGGTAACAACTAAATATCTACCTTCCCAACTGCCCTCCAGCCATACTGAAGTACTTATTGTAGTCCATTCTAAGCAGCAGCTGTGCCAGGTGTGGACTCCCCTGATGATTCTTTACACTGGACAGTATGCTGAACAGGAGCTTGGACTGACGTTGGAAATTCTAAAATAAGGAAATGTTCTCCTATATAAAAATAAATATTTATATACATGCATTGCATAACATTTATCATGCAGATTTCAATTTCTGCAAACCCTTTACAAAGGGTCTCCTATAATACCACTTGCAAACCTCTTATTCTAAATACATAAAAAATTGCAATGATAATGTGTGCCCACCTTTGCTATTTCTTCAAGCTTTGCAGTTTGTCTTTCATCCATCCCAGTGTGAGAATGACTGACCAGAACACAAAATGCATGGCAGCCATTCAGAATTTCGTGCAGACAACGACTGACCTACAGTGAAATAAAAGTAGTTTTTAAACTATTACTGGACATACAAATTTGTCTAGTTGGAGATATTCCATCTCCCCCTTGGAGACTGCAGCTGGTCTACTCAGAATACAGATGTATTACTGTAAAGAAAGTTCAAATTTTGAGAATATTGATTATCCTTGGCCAATAAAACATATTCTGAAGAAATGGACACCAACATATCATACAAGTTATTTAAAATCAAAACAAATGTTAAAGTAATAAGTTCAAACAAAACAATAACATTGCTTCCCAATTATTGCAAAACAAAAATTGCAAAGGACTAATGAACACAACTGATGCAGGTGATGGCAATAAACACTGCCATTACTCTGTGACTGTACATACAATGACAAAAATGAATAACTCACTCCTTTCATTAGCAAAAATGACTGTGATAACAGTGAAGTGATAAACTGATCATGAGCAAGACGAATGGCTTCAAAGTCTCTTGTGGTATGGATCTTCTCCAATAGTATACTGAACTGGGACTCTATTACATCAACCTGAAACGATGAGAGATATTTTCACAATTTTACTTTGAAAGAAAAATTCAATTACTTTTGTGTCATTTGTACAAAAATGGGTTTTGTAATTCAAATGTCATTTAGCAATTCTAATAAAGACTGATCTTGTATCAACAGAACTGAACTATCATCTATGTCAATGCATTTCCTGATAAAAGAAGCCCAAGACAACAGGAACCAGTACGCTCAGTAATTATACCTGTCCAATGCATCTACTTGAGCCTCAGATGTAATCAGTCAGCAGAGAAGCTGTATGAAACACTCACCAAGGTAGTTAAGGTGTTTTATGGAACCATTCAAAAAGTACCTTCTTTAAGGAATATTTAAACCTGCACAAGAACTTGGAAATAGTCCTTCTTGAATATCATATTTAACAGAAATGTTTACCAAGACCCACCTGTAAATAATATTGTAGATTATCCACTAAGAAAGACATGTGCATGCGTAGGTTCCACATTTGCCTCTCATTTTCAAGCATTTCCTGCTGTTTAAAATGGTTCATATGCAGCATCCAGCAGTGCTGCAGGTCTAGCTCTACTCGTTTCACCAACAATAGAAAACTGAATAACTGGTTATATCTGAAAGAAGAATTACCTGATTACTATATTTTGAATAGCTTCTCACCATAAGCTTCTTTTAGATTCGTCTTGTGTAGAAACTCTAACCTGACATACCTTTTCACAAATTTATGAATACATTTGTAAAACAAAGAATTCTATTAAAATACCACCCTTTAACTGGGAACTGATATTAAATTTTAAAACTAAATTAAGAAACACAATCTTCTTTTGGATCAAGACAGAAAAATTTTAAATTTCCTAGGCAATTACTCAGATTCAAAACAGTTTTTTAGGCTTTCACAAACTAGTTATCAGAAAAACTTAATGAATTTGTCATTTGATGATGCAAGTTGGTGCTATTTGTGCTCTATGGAGCAACAGATCACAATATCTTACTTTTCCAAGCAACTCTCTGTAGTCAGGAGGTGTAGAGGCCACTCCACAGAATACTCCAAACCTAAAACATTCCAACCTGGTTCTGCACTCTGAACTGTTTCTGCAAGGCCAGTCTCTGTATGGATATGCACAAGATAATTAGCATGTCATCATAAAATTATATTCATGTATCAAAGGAAAAAAGTATGTATGATATTAACGTTAATTTATTTTTACTAAATGACAACTTAAACCTTAATTGAAATAATTAATTACCTCGTAGACAAAATACAAACCTTTTCATAAAAAACTGGTTCCTATTTACACACATTTTTCAACTATTAGTACCGTAAGTAATAACTCACTTTTGGTCTGAGACTTTTCAGATTTGTTCTCCACAGTTAATTTGAATCTCTGCATTACTTCTTCATTTTCAAACAGGACACTTCTTGCTGCATGCTGAAATGCCATGTTTACATCTGCAAAGGTGAGGGTGGAAATTAGTTTTCACTGTACTTAAGATGAAATCAGTTTTAAGACTAACCTGCAATGAATTGATACTCTTTACCAAACCAATACTTCAAGTAGCATGGAAATATTTCTACGGACCTCTGACCCAAACATGTATCAAGACATTTTCCACAACAATGGTCAATTATTTTTCTTCTTTGTCACATCAAAGTCTCCCCCATAGAAATATCATATTTTTCACAGTGATTAATCTATTATTAGGAATGATCAAGAAGCACAGACCCTAGTCGTCTTCTAATTATAAATTCAGTTTGGGTAGTACAAAAATAAACCAATAGGGATTCACTCATGAACCATCTAAGATGTACACATACCTTGTTCTGTAGTTCCTGTTGGTGGAGGATTAAGCAATCCTTTGGACTGGTCAATGAAGGCTAAGAACAGCTCACCCCTTCCAAGCAAATAAAAATCTTTGATAATGCGTAAGTGGCCAATCAGATCCGACTCTTCAACCACCAGTTTCCACAATGTCTGTAAGGAAATACATCACAGATATTTCGATTTATGTTGAGACCTGGTCCTGTTGAGTTCTCCATACAAATCATTACTTTCATGCAGTACCTTGTAAATAACAATCCAGGAATATGGGTTAGTAAAAGGGAGAGTTGGTAAAATCATTAATGTACTAGACTTACATGAATATGAAGTTACATCCTTACCTCAGCAACACACACTCTTATTTTGTCAATGACATTCTCAAATGACATCAAACTAAACTCCTCTTCTTGACTTAGTTCCTGTAGTTCTTTGGCAAATGAGTCTTCCTTATTTTTCAATACAGACCCTTAAAAACAAAATTAAGGTAATCAGAAACTAACAAGGTCTCCTTTTTACAAGATCCTTCAACTCATACAAAACAGCTTTTCAAAAAGGCAACAACAACAACCGTGTATCAATTCCATTTGGTTAAAACAAAGAAAACACTAATGTGCTGAACACAAAACCTCAAGCATAAAAACCAGGGCACAGAACCAATTCAAATTCCTTTGATTTCTATAATTTTACAATGAATAATATAAACCAACACATACTTTTATACATGACTCCTCCCTTCTTGTTTTCACTGGAAAACATGCAGACAGACTCCCCTACAAACAAAATCTTGTTGGCTACCCTTGTTGGGATGTATGAAAGTAGCATTCCTGCTCGCAGTGTAAACTGTTCATAATGAGCCACAAGATCATCTTCTGCTAACTGCTGCAATTATTAAAAAATAAATAAATAAATAAAACTGACTGGCAGAGGAGTCAATAGATTTTTTATTACTTCTTGATAAAACAGCTCTAGAAATAGAGCATACATCTAAATATTTATTTTAAAGATTCTGAACTCATTGTTATGGAAGACAACACATTAATTAATGATGAACTTCATTACTTGAACAAAACAATTTGTACCATCCACCAAACAAGTATCTTAACTATTTTTTATCTCACTTTCCTAAACATAAAATATTCAACCACAAAAAAATTATGTGGAATCTTAAATTAATTTTTTTTCAATACAACAAAGCACCTGGTACTGATCTGATGCTAATCAAAAGTTATTTTAAGGTAACTAACAATTTTATTGCATACAAGTAATATCTCAAATTGTTTAAACTTATGTACACTAAAATCAACTTCACAACATTTACCATAATCTGCTGTAACTGTCTCCCTGTGACTCCTGCTATCCCCAAATCATCATCTTCTACTGATCTCTGACTCTTACTGGGTTCCTTAGAGGCCTTGGTAATGAAGAACTCCTCATGCTGATCCAGTAGAAGACCATGTAGCATCCAGGCAGACAATTGCTTGTAGAAAACTCCATGACACACATGCAGGATTCTAAAATTTGAGGAAATGTAACGTAAAAATAAATTTTAAAAAGAAAAGGGGGTTTGGAATATTAAAAACATATGACCAATTTTGCTCCATCAAAGCAGTTATAACTTGAGAAATAACTATGACAAATAACTAAAATACAATGTTTTTTTAAAGATAACTTTTGTTCTGATTCATCAAAAAAACAAAATGAAAAATCTATATTATCATATGATGACTGGTACAGCACCCATTCAATTCATTCATACTTTCATTACTGTTGCTCAACAAAACTAACTCACTGATTTAAGGCTGCCTTGACTTTGGGCACACCAGTGGATGCATTCTTGTGCAATATCTCCAAAATTTGACACCCATGAGCTCTGTGTTGAAGCAACTGGTCTATAATCCCTAATAAAGCTGGGAACAGTAGCTGAAACTTGAAGAGAAAAGAAGGCATGGTCACCATGTATTCAGAAGGTGAAATTTTTCAAAAAAAAAATTATATAAAAAATTATATATAAATGACTGTGCCAGAATCTGCTTTTCTTCAATAATACAATAAGGTTGGTAACTTCACACACATAAGACAGCTCTGCTCTGAGGTAAAAACAATTTTGTAAAATGACCTCATGATAGTTTTATATGAAATAGATGAAATAATGTCACTTTTACCTATGACACCATTTCTTACAGCATGATAAGCTATTTACAAAACTGCTGTCTTCACTATCAAACTTAAATACCATTAAAACAACACTTCTTCTGTTTGGAGCGTTTTAATATATGCTATATACCTCTTCAAGGGCACACTGAACATGGGTCACAGGCAGATGAGAATCTGCCAAAATATCTCTCTCCAACTGCAGCAGTGCTTGTCTATATGGAGTGAGTACTTGGTCTAGCCCACTACAGAATGCTCTAATATACAAGCCTTGTTGAATGGATAAATTGCTGACATTGCCTAAAAGTAATAAATAAATATAATAACAAATTCAAACAAAATTAATCAAATACATGTCTTAACACAATATTTCGTGCATGTTAAAAAAAAAAGAAAATCCACAACTATAATAGAGATCATTGGGTTTATGTCAAATGTATAATTTACTTGCAATTATTTCATTACAAAAATGAGAAATAGTGAAAAAAATTTGAAAATACTTAAATACTACTAAGTGAGGTGCTAGAGATCTGAGAGTAAATAATGTAACAATAAACACAGTTGGCAACTTGGGCAAGGCAGGCAAGGACAAATACACTTTAACACAACCATATATGGCCACATTTTCAACATGCAATAAACTTTGACTACAACTCCTTGTCATACATTTTAATTTGAGAGAACAATGTCATAGGTCATGTGCACAACTAAATCTTATATTACCTATTACAATAAAAATCTATTATTACCAAAGATGTAGGAGTGCATTCATGAAAGATAGAATTGATACCATGAAACACAAACATCATAAATCATGAATACCTGAATTTCTGAGCAGCACAGAATGTGGTCCATGGTTCTGGATAAAATCCTGGAACCTACAGTAGTATGTGCCAAGTTTACATAGTCTATTCAACAATGCCTCCTCAGTGGGATGAATAAAAGGCAAATTAGGTACAACCTGCAGATTTCAAAATAAAATATCATTAATAACCTTTTACAAAAATTAAGTGGTACAGTACTGTATGTATTGTATAAAATAAACAGATGAAATGCAAATGATGAGTCCACGAGTATATCAGTAAAAACATAATTAGGATAAACTCAAGAATTATCTGTGATAACAGACTACATTTACGCATGTTTAAATCATTGTTCCATTTAGGAAAAAAATGAAATAATTAACAAAGAAATAAGACTGTTGTTAAATGCATGTTAAACAGCATAATCCATCTATATTGTAGTTCATGGAGATGAATAATATGCACTAGAAATCTACTACTAGTACTAACGTATTAACAATACTAGTAATAGTAACAGTAGCAGTAGAAGTACTGAGTAGTGGTAGTAGATCTACTAGTTAATGTTACTCGTTAGTCATTTTATTTAGTTACCTTGATTTCACCGTTCTCTGTTTGGACAAATACACTTCCTGGATATCCACTTAATGCAAGGAGAAGTTCATGCAGCATTTTGCTAGTAAATCATCAAATCTACAATACCCAAAATTTTGCTACCATGTGTGATACATGACGGATAACGTAGAGATCTTCACTCATCTTAGCTTCCAGGCTAAAAATGGCGGCATATTCGTATTTGACTGGTGATTGGTTGGATACAAGATGACGTCATTTGGGAATTCCCTTTTCTCGGGGATCCCCTCAAGAGCCCTGAGGGCAGTGACTCGGATTCGAGAATAAAATACCCCACAGTTATGTACGTTATTCATCAAGGGGGTACCGTTACAAGGATCTTATAACGAAACTTCCTGTGTACCAATAACACGTAATGGTTGCTTCAGTAAATACACTTCAAATGCACGTAAAATGTGCGAGTTTTAGGTTTACCGTGTAGAATGACACTAGACCCAGTACAAAACAAACATGTTATTTTTGCTGTTAGGCTGCAAGTAATAATATTTTATTCTGAACATTAGTTCAGTTAAAGAATTAAGGCTCCCCTGTGTGTTGTGAAGTCCTGGACCCTCTCCAGAAATTGAACCAATGTAAAAATGTGCCTTAACTGGAAAATTAATTTTCTTGTATTTGTACTACATGTACTAATGTTGTATTTGTTTATCATTTTAAAAAGACATTAACCCGTGTGCTGTTTCATGCTGCTGCTAACTCCTTATTTATACAAAGCTGCTGTTTAGAGCTTATAACATGTAAACATTTATTTTGTGCACGACTTTTATTTTCAATTTGCAATGCAAACTAAAGCAAAGAAGGACAAAGTTTTGTGCAAATTACACCCAACTTTATTTCAAAAAATTAAAACCACAATATCAAATTGCAAAATTCAATTAAAAAACAAAACACACAACTGTTAATGTTCAATTGTCTTATATCACAGACGCAAGTTTTGTGGCAGTCTTAATGCTGTGTTAATAATATTCCTCTACTTCAATTGTAGACTCATCATCATTTTCAAAATCATGATAGTGCTGAGTGTCAAATGATGTTTCAATTTCATATGGTTCTGGCTCGAAGGTCTGCCCAGTCCTTTTATTAATTCGAACTTGTTTCTTGAATCCAGTCTGTCTCTGAGCACAAGGTGTGGAGCTAGATTTAGGAATACCAATTCCTATAACTCTTACTCTAGAATCTACTAATTCAAATACATGGTTAGAAGTCCTGCCTTTCACTTTAAGTACATGATCTTTGTCTAATGTGGCAATTAAACTTGTTAAGTCAACATTGTCTGGTAAATTAAAAACTTTCTCAAAGGTTCTTTCAAAACAGTTTTCATCACATGAACATTTATGATGCCCAGAGATGTGCAGACTCCTTCCTCGGGTCTCTATGGTAATATCATCAGGGTCATAACCTTCTACATATAATGCATAAAGTTGGGATTCTTTTTTACTGAGACTTCTGGGCTTTGGTTGGTTCTGTTGTAAATGTCTATGGCTGTTTTTATTTCTGGACTTCAATACATGCTGTCTATGATGTTGCTCTTGGTTGTGCATAAAGTTTGCATTTTCTTCTTGTATGCCCCGAAGTTCCTCTTCTCTCAGACGCTGAAGTTCTTTTTGACGTTTTAGCTTTGCTGCTTTTTCTTTTTGAAAGTTAAGTTCACGTAAACGTTCCTGTTGCCTTTTTTCTTCATTAATTCTTCTTTGTTCAGATTCAAACTTTTTGAGTCTAGCCTGTTTTTTGCTGTCATTTGCCAGAGCGTCTCTGCCTTCCTCATAATGTTGATTGTACTTACTCTTGGGTGAATTCCATTGTGGTTCTTCTACTGCATTTTGATCAATTTCTGGATCTTCCCTTTTGTTTTGAGTACAGCGTCTTTCAAGGCGTGGAGGTTCATGTGGGTTCCAGGGATCCCTCCATCTTGGGGTCCAAATCTGAAATGGTGCAAAGTGGTCCTCAAAAAGGTCCTCAAAGTTCTGGTGCCAAGATGCATGCGGCCAGTCCCAGTCAAATACTGATACTCTGTCAAAAGGGTCTTGCCACCTTAAAGGAAAGATTTTGAAAATGTTTAGTTGGAAGTATATATAATCTTTGCTTTGTTTAATAGCATACATATTTTGATTCTGAGAAAATTTATTTTATCAGAAAAGCACAAAAAATGACAAAGGAAATATTACAGGTTGTATTTTTAAACATCCAAGTTCACGTAAGTTATTTTTGAAAAAGAAAACCTTTCAAGGGTTATTTACAAAAATAATGACTATANGTTAAGTAGTGAACCTGATATGTGAATAAATTTTGTCTGATGAAGTTCTGGAGGGTGTTCACTTTCATAATTTGGCGGTAAGTTTGCTCAGAATTCGTTTTGCGACTGCATGTGTTTTGTGCCAAAAGTAGGTCACTCTTTTCAATGTTGTCTAGGAAGAGGCAAAAAGACGTTAGTATGCAACAAAAAATGATTTTTTAAAAATTTTTGATCCAAATTTCTCATAAAACATGACCTGTCCGTCGGACAGCCAACCCTGCAACTTCACCTGTCCGAACTGAATTTTTACCTGTCCCGGACAGGCGGACAGGCGCTAATGTCGAGCCCTGTTAACACAATACTTCGTGCACGTTAAAAAAAAAAGAAAAGAAAATCCACAACTAAAATAGAGATCATTGGGTTTATGTCAAATGTATAATTTACTTGCAATTATTTCATTACAAAAATGAGAAATAGTGAAAAAAATTGAAAATACTTAAATACTACTAAGTGAGGTGCTAGAGATCTGAGAAATAATGTAACGATAAACATACTAAGGTTGGCAACTTGGGCAAGGCAGGCCAGGACAAATACACTTTAACACAACCATATATGGCCACATTTTCAACATGCAATAAACTTTGACTACAAATCCTTGTCATACTTTTTAATTTGAGAAAACAGTGTCATAGGTCATGTGCACAACTAAATCTTATATTACTTATTACAATAAAAATCTATTATTACCAAAGATGTAGGAGTTCATTCATGAAAAATAGAATTGATACCATGAAACACAAACATCATAAATCATGATACCTGAATTTCTGAGCAGCACAGAATGTGGTCCATGGTTCTGGATAAAATCCTGGAACCTACAGTAGTACGTGCCAAGTTTACATAGTCTATTCAACAATGCCTCCTCAGTGGGATGAATAAAAGGCAAATTTGGTACAACCTGCAGTTTTCAAAATAAAACATCATTAATAACCTTTTACAAAAATTAAGTGGTACAGTACTGTATGCATTGTATAAAATAAACAGATGAAATGCAAATGATGAGTCCACGAGTATATCATTAAAAACATATATAGGATAAACTCAAGAATTATCTGTGATACATTTACGTATGTTTAAATTGTTCCATTTAGGAAAAAAATGAAATAATTAACAAAGAAATAAGACTGTTGTTAAATGCATGTTAGACAGCATAATCCATCTTATATTGTAGTTCATGGAGGTGAATAATATGCACTAGAAATCTACTACTAGTACTAACGTATTAACAATACTAGTATAGTAACAGTAGCAGTAGAAGTACTGAGTAGTGGTAGTAGATCTACTGATCAACGTTACTCGTTAGTCATTTTATTTAGTTACCTTGATTTCACCGTTCTCTGTTTGGACAAATACACTTCCTGGATATCCACTTAATGCAAGGAGAAGTTCATGCAGCATTTTGCTAGTAAATCATCAAATCTACAATACCCAAAATTTTGCTACCATGTAATGATACATGACGGATAACGTAGAGATCTTCACTCATCTTAGCTTCCAGGCTAAAAATGGCGGCATATTCGTATTTGACTGGTGATTGGTTGGATACAAGATGACGTCACTTGGGAATTCCCTTTTCTCGGGGATCCCCTCAGGAGCCCTGAGGACAGTGACTCGGATTCGAGAATAAAATACCCCACAGTTATGTACGTTATTCATAAAAGGGGTACCGTTACAAGGATCTTATAACGAAACTTCCTGTGTACCAATCACACGTAATGGTTGCTTCAGTAAATACACTTAAAATGCACGTAAAATGTGCGAGTTTTAGGTTAACCGTGTAGAATGACACGTACTGGACCCAATACAAAACAAACATTATTTTTTCGGTTAGGCTGCAAGTAATAATATTTTATTCTGAACATAAGGTCAGTTAACGAATTCGGGCTCCCCTGTGTGTTGTGAAGTCTTGGACCCTCCTGAAATTGAACCAATGTAAAAATGTGCCTTAACTGGAAAGTTAATTTTCTTTTATTTGTACTACTAGTACTGTATTTGTTTATTATTTAAAAAAAAAGACATTAACCCGTGTGTTGTTTCATGCTGCTAACTCCTTATTTATACAAGGCTGCTGTTTAGAGCTTATAGCACGTAATCATTTATTTTGTGCACGACTTTTATTTTCAATTTGCAATGCAAACTAAAGCAAAGAAGGACAAAGTTTTCTGTACATTACACCCAACTTTATTTCGAAAAATTAAAATCACAATATCAAATTGCAAAATTCAATTAAAAAACAAAAAACACAACATTTAATGTTCAATTGTCTTATATCACAGACGCAAGTTTTGTGGCAGTCTTAATGCTGTGTCAATAATATTCCTCTACTTCAATTGTAGACTCATCATCATTTTCAAAATCATGATAGTGCTGAGTGTCAAATGATGTTTCAATTTCATATGGTTCTGGCTCAAAGGTCTGCCCAGTCCTTTTATTAATTCGAACTTGTTTCTTGAATCCAGTCTGTCTCTGAGAACAAGGTGTGGAGCTAGATTGAGGAATACCAATTCCTATAACTCTTACTCTAGAATCTACTAGTTCAAATACATGGTTAGAAGTCCTGCCTTTCACTTTAAGTACATGATCTTTGTCTAATGTGGTACTTAAACTTGTTAAGTCAACATTGTCTGGTAAATTAAAAACTTTCTCAAAGGTTCTTTCAAAACAGTTTTCATCACATGAACATTTATGATGCCCAGAGATGTGCAGACTCCTTCCTTGGGTCTCTATGGTAATATCATCAGGGTCATAACCTTCTACATATAATGCATAAAGTTGGGATTCTTTTTTACTGAGACTTCTGGGCTTTGGTTGGTTCTGTTGTAAATGTCTATGGCTGTTTTTATTTCTGGACTTCAATACATGCTGTCTATGATGTTGCTCTTGGTTGTGCATATACTTTGCATTTTCTTCTTGCATGCCCCGAAGTTCCTTTTCTCTCAGATGCTGAAGTTCTTTTTGATGTTTAAGCTTTGCTGCTTTTTCTTTTTGAAAGTTCAGTTCACGTAAACGTTCCTGTTGCCTTTTTTCTTCATTAATTCTTTTTTGTTCAGATTCAAACTTTTTGAGTCTAGCCTGTCTCTTTCTGTCATTTGCCAGAGCGTCTCTGCCTTCCTCATAATGTTGATTGTATTTACTCTTGGGTGAATTCCATTGTGGTTCTTCTACTGCATTTTGATCAATTTCTGGATCTTCCCTTTTGTTTTGAGTACAGCGTCTTTCAAGGCGTGGAGGTTCATGTGGGTTCCAGGGATCCCTCCATCTTGGGGTCCAAATCTGAAATGGTGCAAAGTGGTCCTCAAAAAGGTCCTCAAAGTTCTGGTGCCAAGATGCATGCGGCCAGTCCCAGTCAAATACTGATACTCTGTCAAAAGGGTCTTGCCACCTTAAAGGAAAGATTTTGAAAATGTTTAGTTGGAAGTATATATAATTTTTGCTTTGTTTAATAGCATACATATTTTGATTCTGAGAAAATTTATTTTATCAGAAAAGCACAAAAAATGACAAAGGAAATATTACAGGTTGTATTTTTAAACATCCAAGTTCAAATAAGTTATTTTTGAAAAAGAAAACCTTTCAATGGTTATTTACAAAAATAATGACTATTACAATAACAACTGTAATTCAATATATTGAAAAAATTGCTTGAACTGTTAAAGATATGACAGTATAGTATACTTACCCAAAGACGGATGGTCTATAAAACCGTGACCCCCAGGCGTTGGCTGTGTTGTATCCAGCCAAAATGCCAACAACCGCTAAAATTGCCAACAAACTGTTCTTCATGTTGGTGTTTCTATTGTACAGTCTACACTATATCAGGTTTAAAGGTATTGTCAAAGTCAGATTTCAAATATATCTGCTATCTGCTTCTGTTGTCCCACGATTCACGAAAATCTGCAAAATGTCTGTCTGCGTTTGCTCAGTGAGTTCCTGTGAATAAGATGAAAGTTCTGTTCAATCTTGTATCCCGCGGCCTTTATATACTCAAATGTACACGTGAACTTTGTTTTTCACTTACGTGGGTTTATTGTATGAATGACACGTCAGCATGTAAACCAGCCACTTTACAATAACGCTTGCTTGCATCAGTTTATTGACCACATGTGTTTGTTTACAAAGTGTTCTATTTATAGATTCCAGAATAGTGTCGGTGAGTCTAGAAAAATCTACAATTGACTTTGCATGAAGATAATTCTCCATGATAAAAATATGTCCCTCAACTATTATCAACTTCATGATACAATTCTCCCTAAAAATCAATATAATAGTAATTTTTTCAATTTATTTCGAGAGGTGTAGATTACAAAAAATGTGCTTCGAAATATTTGACCTAGTTCGTCACTTCCGGTTACCGACGAGAGGGGAAGTGCAGACATGGCGTTTGGTTTATACTCGCTCCTAGAGGCGATGCTATTATGCCTTAATGCTGTATGTATTCTCCATGAAGAACGTTTTTTATCAAAATGTAAGTATAATTGATATTGTTACTCAATGAGGGATCATAACTTACTGCACGATTTTTTTCTACTGGTCAAAACTTGAGCTGGCCACGTCCCCATCAGCACAGCACAGCACAGCACTGCCATTGAAATTGTCATCATCATATGTGCATTAATGCCATTATCGTTGACTCGCAGGTCATTGCTTCTTTTGTCGTCGCCAAATAAATTTTCCATATGTCAAACGACTTGAACATTTTTGAAATGGTGTTTTATTAGCATTATATGGTAATTACTGGATTACGTACGGATAAAATTTAGTCCCAAAATATTACACGTCCCTATACTCCCGTTACCGATAGATACATAAAGGAAAAACGGAAAAAACGTCTTTTTAGATTTAAATACCGATAGATCCGATTTTTTTCTGCTGTCCTATATATTTGCGTTCCTATAGATATGACGTCCTCATAAACCCACGTCCTTTAAATCCGCATACCTATAGATCCACGTATTTTTAGATCCAAATACCGATAGATCCATTACAGGTACACTATTGCTCGAAATGGTTGGTATACTACTCAGTACATAAAATGCACTTCTTTAAAACGGCAGTACGCAGTCAGCAATATATTATTCTACTAGATGGTTTTCACACAATACTCAGTGAAAGAACATAAAAAGAACAAAAGTGTGTTCTATATTTCACAACGCTTAATTACTGTTCTAGCGTCAGACCACTGTTTAAAGCGTTCTCAAAATGCAACATTCGAACACGTAAAAAGTGTTCTGAATTTACATGTAAATGTGTTCTAAACAAAACAAAACAAAAAAGAACATAAAAAGGTGTTCTAAATTTCACAATGCAAGTTGATATGGGCCTTTCAGCCGATTACAATGTCAGATAGATGGATCTAGCGGTACCTGGATTTAAAGATACGTGGGTTTATAGGAATCTGTTGGTGGATCTATCGGAACGTAAATTTAACGAGACGTAAATTTATTGAGACGTGTATGTATAGAGACGTATCTATCGGGGCGAATATTTTATTGGGACGTTTATCTATATGGCGGACCCCTAATTACTGTATTATTATTTTTCATAAGCCCGGTCATTTCTGTTCTTAGAGTGGGAATTTGAGTATCATTATAACATGTAAGTATAGCAACTGTGTTGTCCTTTCCAGTTTACTCTGACCAACGGGGGTTTGGAGAAGAAGCAGGGATGAAAACCCAGCTGCTAAGTCTAATAAAATCAATACGAACTGTTATGAGAGGTAGGTTAATGTGCGTTAGATGTTTTTGTGCTCACAAGTTATCAGTTAAGACTCAGGGTATTCATTCTGTTGTGATAATCAGAAGAACTTTTAAGAACAAAGTAAATTTTGGTATGATGACACTAAGTTCTTAGCTAATAGTTTTCAGGATGTTTTTGCTGTTTGCAGACACTTTAGCTTGTAGAATCTTCTGGGATAATCTTGAAACTTCCAGAAGCATTATACAAATGCCATTTAAAACTATGAAAACAACTGGGGTTTTTATTAGCCCTCTCTGTCATTACTTACTGTAACTGTCTATTACTTTTCGAGTACTACTAATTACTAGATATTTCTTGCTGTGCTCACTGCAAATACTTTGAAATGCATTGCCTATTATTAAATGATTGCATTTACTAGTTTTATCATTTGGGCACCTGATTACACAAAAAAAGGATATAATTTTAAACTGGTTATTTGGTATTGAAAACATAACCCGTCAGAAATCCTTCAGAGAAGTTCTCAGCTGTGTTTCCCCTTGTTCTTCATCACATGTACTTGTATGTATGCTCATTAATTGCAACTATTATATTTTACTTTATAACAGGCAAGCCAATAAAATCTTAAGGAATACAGAGAGTTATTTCAATCACTGGTCAGTAGAGATATGCACCAGCACTGGCTTATTGTAGGGTGGTACAAACATTCATTTAATATGTGTATAATATTGCCTTTCCCTTTTTCAGTGCCATTGGTAGGACTAAATATTATGACCATTGCCCTGAAGTTGGTTTTTGGATAACCAAGTGAAGAGTTGAAAAACAATGAATACTGTTGAAAAGTCCTCAAACTGCACTGCAATCTCATGACTTCTATTCATTCAAGCCTTGGATTCTTTCCAATGCCCATGCAACACAAGCAGGAATTCACAGAATGTCAGTCAGGGAGATTATAAGGTTTAAGATTCCAGATGGGTACAGAAGATGACAAGAAGAGGCCTATTTGTATAACTGAATGAAAATAGTCAAATCTGAACCATAGAACTTTAAATACAGGTTAAGTGATCATAGGACTGTGGCCAGTTATCTTGGGAGTGTATATTATTACTTTGTATTTGAATAGAAAAAAATATATACATAATTATGTGAATCAATAAAAGAAAATATTTATCCATGTAGATTCATTTGTCTTTCATTTGCATATGTAACTTCATCAAAAGAAGTGCCCACTTCTTCCAAGGAGGATGTTGGGCTTGCACTAATGTTACATAGATGTCCTCAAGACCATACAAATTATTTCACCTTTTCAGGAGTGGACCTACCCAGCCAAGCTGTCAGCCTATCAATGACCAATTTGGGGACTAAATTGGTTCATTCACAATGAAAATTGCATAGCAAATTATACATTTTTTGGCTTTCATTGTCCCAAATATGCAGGTTCATTAAATATAGCGCAGGTAATTAGCTAACTTATGCTCCAATTTTAGTGTGCATCGAAATGCATACCGTAATAGGTCACAGAATTCAGAAGAGCGGACTAACTAGTCTGCAGATCAAAAATGGTGACCAACTAAAATGCTTGCCATCTTATCTGCTAATAGACACTGAATAGATTCCCTGTGGTGAAGTGTTTAAGTGGATCAGCCATTTTTGACCCTCAGACTAGTTAGTCCAGTTCTGAATGCTGCCTTAGCCCCAAATAGCTACATGTTACTTATACATGTTATTAGTAAAATATTTTCATTGATCATTTTCATTTAGTCATCAGTTGGAGACAGTGTAATAGTTTTTTTTTCATCAATATCTAATGCTCTTATTCCACACAGACAACCAATTCCAAGAACTGCCAAAAACTGAAATATCCCAGAGTTCTTAGTTTAATCATGATAAATTCTTTAAGCTCTTAGCTGATTATTTATTTATTCTCAGTCAGTTCTTAACATTCTTGAGCGATTGTGAAATTGGCACAGTTTTTGAACCAGTCTTCCACCTAACACCACTTGTTGTTCACATGCCAGTTTGAGGCACTAAAGGTGCTCTATGTTGAATGTCCAGTATGGAAGTGAAGCCCAAGCAAAGAAAAGATTTCCACAAGAAATCTGCAAAATTCCACAATTTTTCACAATTCATCAAATCCTGGCAGTTTGTGGAATGTTTAGGTGGTGTGGAATAGGGGCATTAGCAGTTAATGCAACTACTGAACTCTAGGTTCTTGACATTAATGATGCATTTAATTTCAAATTTTTGTAAGCCTGACCAAATGCCACCATAATAGTTTCGAATAATATTATTTAGAGAAAAACCAATTGCTTAAACAAGGCNCATCTGTGTCTGTACATAAAAATGATTTAACGGATATTTTTTGCTTAAATTGTGCCATAAATATTCCCTAGCAGTCTCATTTGAAGAACTATTCACTCACAGCTATACATCCATATATTGAGGTAAGAGATAATTATGCAATGTCCATGCAGTAGTTCATTTATGGGACTTTCGTGAACTGGATGTGGACAAATAGGTCAATTTACAAAAAAAAAAAAAAAATTGAAGTTTTAAAGCTATTTGGTAGAACAAAGAATCAACTTGGTTATTGAGGTTCATGTCACATTTATTTTAGTCATTTAAAATAACTGGTGCAAGTGGCTTAGATGTAGCTCTATATGTAAGTGAAATGTTTTAAGACAAAATCAATCATGTCCACATTAAACTGAAGCAACAAGTCTTGAGGTTGAAAAAAATTTATTCCTGAAATTAGTTTCCCTCCACTTTGGTCTTATGCTTTACCTGAATTCAGTGAAATTCATCATTCATCCATGTACATAAAGAAAAAAAATCATGTTGGATTTGCTTGTTAGCAAAACATTGCAGTATGGGAATTTTAGCCAACAAGTTTCTTTTGGTTTCCATGGGGTAAGCAATATATATATATTTTTTTAATATAACAGTTTAAAAGTAATGTTGCCTAAGAAAAAATAATTCAACTTGAGATTTTAACCCAGGTACTAGCCCAGATTTCTGCATGGTTAGTCATTAAGAAATTCTTACTCTGATAGTGGCTCTCACTGATAAGACGGTTTTCAGTTGATCATTTATCATTTCAAAATGGGGATAAAATATCATTGTCCTTAAGAAAGCATCACATTCATATCAGATCTATGATCTATAAATTAAGGTTCAGATTTTTAAGCCAAGATACTTGGGAACTAGGTGTCAATGATCAGGCAACAGTTATAATTGTTACAATGGAGAACTCAAAGAGCACCAAAATTTAAATTTGTGTAGTTTAGAATACTGGGGCGCTATCTATTTCTCAACAGCTGGCACATAACCAATGTATTCTTCCTGGCCACCTTCTCTCATGATGACACCACCATTGACCTCATAAGAATCAGGATCTTCAATATCAAATGCATCCAGGTCCACATCAGGCACCTGTTGAATACAATTTAGAACAGAATTACTAAACATACACCTAGCAGTTTCAAAATATTCAAAGAAAACATTTTCTTAGTCTTTTTGTCAAAAAATCACACATGCAACTAATGAAAAATAGCTTAACATTAATTGATTGTCATTGTATATTAAAATGTTTAGTTGTGGTGTTTGTCATTTATTTCTTGAAATAAGTACAATTCATTTTTTACTTTACTGTGTGGTTGAAGAAACTGTCCAATTCATCTTGCTGTTATTCTTATTATAATTTTTTAATTTGATATTGTAATGTCATCCCCCAATATTACACACATTTTATAGTAAGTAATGCTTTTTCTGTGCCATTATTTACATTGGTTAAGTTATTAATATTGAACTTAAGAAAATTTTTGTGCAAAAAAAATAACTACAATGTTAAGAGAGTATTATAAACAAAGTTCGTTTTTCATCAAGTTGTTAGGGGAGCACCTTACATCCACTTTGCTAACATTGACAGTATCATGAACAAATTGTATTTTGATTGAGCGAACGTGCATAATTGTTTCAATAACCTCATTGGCAATAGGATATATTATTTATAAACAAAAAACATACAAAACCATTTTGCAACTAAGGACACTAATGGATATTTATTTAAATCCAAGCAGTAAAACAGCAGCTTTTCCTTTCCAATGTCCACACCGTATTGGGCATAATGCATAGAGTTAAGGTCACTAATGTTTATATATTTAAATCCAAAACAGAAAAACAGTAGCTTTCCCTTTCCACTGTTGTAATGGGAGTAACTTCACAGAGTTAACAATTGAGAAATCCAAATTCAAAGTCTGTAAATCCCATTCTTCTGGCTAGTTCTATTAATATATATAAAATACAGCTGTGATTGACAATGTCAGTATTGGAACATTTGCAACTGAGAGCTTGGTCAAACTTCAAGAAAAGCTTCTAATAGAAAAAATGCATAACACTACTGTCACTGTTCAAATACATCCACTGGAAAAGCTCTTATACGTAAGCGGTGACTGAAGCTACTAATCCGTATTGAAGGGCTGCCTGTCATGATCCTTATGATGCCTTTATTCTAATTTAACAGTGTCTTCTTTCTTGCCAACCTACAGAGAAATGAAACTGAACTTCAATTTTTTCCTTGCAACTGAAAGACAGTCATCAGTGATGATCATTTAGCAGAGCTGTCTTTTATGTTCCATATTTTCAGGTTAAGTTACACAAATGGATCCCAATGAAAGTTCAGATCTGCAATAGGCATCAAGCTGGATTAGTAGAAACTGTTTTACAGAGTTAGCACTTTTATGCATGATAGAACTTCATCCAAATACAGGCATCAATTTTCCTCAGCAGATGCCTTTATATCTTCTAGCCATAGTAAAAGTAAGATGCCATTATTGGAAGCTTCATTTCATTTCCACCTCATACCACTTTAAAACTGTCATTAAAATCAATAAATTTACATGTCTTTCAGTATTCACATTTTGCACTTGTTGAAACCAGTTATTTGAATAATACTGAGATTGTACAAGTTTTTAGATCTAAAATATGTATTTTAAAACATAAATTAATGTTAGTGATACTGGCAGTAGAGTGTTGAGTGCATGTGTGTGTGCTTGATAGGTCAATATAATAAAGATGGAGCTGAAATGGTACTTGTACAGATTCTACACCATGTTTCATGGGTGAAAGTTGTATAAAATGAAAATACTGAAAACATAGCTTGTAATTTCTCATCGTATTTAGACTATGTGAAAAAAAACACACACAAAATGAAGACATAGAATCTTGAAAACTTTCACCCATGACATTCTCAATTCTAAGCCACTAAGCCACCTTGTTAAAACTAGCAGGAAAGCATACACTCACTATAGAACTACTAAGCAGAAGTTATCAAAATTTTAATTATTAGTTTCACCAAGTTGCCAACACATTAAACAAACATTATTTATAGCTGAAATACTAATAGATAAGAGGTGATAAAAAGACTAGGCAAAATATTACTGCTCCAAAATGTATATGTAAATGTGTGAATCCTGAATCATCAATGTTCACACCACATTGTACAGGGGTTAAAAAATTCACATTTTTAAAAATATTAGATTTCCATCAGGTTTATTTACATTTCTTCTCCAAAATTGCAGAGATAATGAAAACAATTTCAAACACAAACAAAATACTGGGAGAAATCCTAATAACAAGTTGGAGCAGCAGCAAATTAGTTAATCCCTTAGTCCACATATCCCACACTTACCAGCCAGCTGAGGGCCCTGGTGCTGAGAACATATTCTGTCATGTTCCCAACAGATTCCTCCACATAAGTCAACTTCTCCTTGGCCTGGTCCATCATCCAACTGGGAAGATCCTCAAAATGTTTAGCCTGCAATTCAACAGATGGGGAAATGGGTTTTTAAGACCAACTTTGACCAAATGACATTCTTGGACTTTTTGGTAAATACAAGTTATAATTGCATTTTTTTTTCCATTTTGCATTCATATATAATGTGAAACTATTTCAGCAATTTTTCTTTGAGTCAACTAATATCTGCCAATAACATCAGCTAAGCCTCCTAACACAGGGTATTACCTCTGCAAAATGCCCATACATTTCTTCTACGTAGGTTTTAGCCTTGTCCATTCTCTCTCTCAGGTATACAGGAAGCAGCTGATCTCCAGATGGCACAATGGCCAGAGCATGTTTCAATTGAAGAGTGAGGCGGCGAGCAACAAGAATTGAACGACGCTCAAGTGTCTGGAACAAAAAAAATTAAATCTATCAGCCGTATTTCTGGAATGGTAAACAATTTACTAAAATAATTGTGTAACTGAAGAAAAACTGACAATTTTATCACTCTGTAGTGTTTGATTCTGGTTCAGGAGAGAGTTCTTTATTATCAAACCACCTACAATCAGTTACTAAAATAACACAAATGTAGGGTTCAGCATAAAGTTTACTAATAATCTTTTAAACTCCTAATCAGTTTCATAGTACCTGTGGCTGGAGTTCCTTTCCTTCCTCTCCTTCCTCCCCTTCAACTTCCTCTTCATCTTCCTCCTTGTTAACTTCCTCCCACACACTCCATGCCTTCTCCTTAGCAGCGTGCACTTTTTCCGCTGCAAGCTCAAAGTTGTCCCTGGCATACTGGATCTAGAGAAAATTAACGACTCGTATTCATTTCACCCGACTTTAAGGAAAGTATGTAAAACATTTTTCTTTTTACATCTAGGTGCAAGAAATTGCACTTCCTCATACATTACCCTATACAAAATATTGCACTCCTTTACACATCACCCTAGAAAGTTTTCAATCCTTTAATTGCCAAGGGGCAAAGTTCAACAGTCATATTTTTCAATTTGCAGAACTGTTTAGTCTAGACTGTTTTTTTTTTACTATCAAAGAACAAAGATAAACCACTGGTTTTAAAATTTCACCATTGGGATGTATAACATACCAAATTAACAGTATGGGCAAGATTTGCAACAGTCTCCTTGCTGCGGGCCTGCAAGTGCTGCATCTCCTTCATGGCACGTGCATACATCCTGCGTCGCACCTTGGAGCTCAGAGATGTCACTCTGGCTAAAGAAGTCTGCACCTGTGGATCTTGCTCATCTCCTTCCTCACCTTCATCCCCTTCCTTCTTTTCTTCTGAAGAAAGAAATATAGAGTACATCTATAACATCTCAAACAATCTTAAGTCTTTTCTGCACTGATAAAGAAAACATTCCCCACATGGACCGTTAGCATAATAGATACACTTTTTAACAAGCAATCCATTTTAATCACTCTTCGAAATAAACAAAAATGTTATTGACGTGTTCTTTGAAACAAACCTTTAATTACAATACCATGTTGCATTATCTTTGTCATTTCATGGAGCTTGTCATAATAAATTTGCGGAAAAATACCTTCTTCAGGGGCAGGTGGCAGGTACTTCTCTACATATCCCTCTGAAGAGGCAAGGATGCCCTCTGCAGCCCCAACCACTACCTGTCCATAACTGGATTGCAGAAGACTGTTCACGGAGCTACTACTGTAGTCCTTCACAGCAGTCACTGTGCCAGTGGCAAAGTTCTTCACATTGGTCACCTAGAATATCAAAAAGATACATTACAGTGATTTACAACAACATTTTAACTTAACCGCATTCTTTTAAATTTTGAAGTTCCTCTTCCATGCTGTCCAATTTGTCAAGATGTCGTTCAATTCATAAACAAGAATATCAGACAAAAGTTTATCAGACAGCTTACAATAGTTTACATTTACTTTCTTAAATTGTTCTGCTATGCAAAATTTGATTTGCATCTGTTTTAAACCAGACAAAATTTAACTGCACTGAAGGTACTTGGACACAAATCACATATCTGAAAATTTAGGTTCCCATCAAAATAAGGTAATCTTATCTGCTACTAAAAACTTCACGTTTCATTTGTCTAGACTCCAATGAAAGGTCAGGGACAAATCTCAAATCCATTTTGTATCACGTGAGAGTACAACATCCACTGGAAACGTGCCAACTGCCATTGAAAGCACCCACATACATCCCAGCATATAATGTTTTCATGTCACCCACACTAGTAGGAATCGGATAGTTTTAACATGCAATAAGCCCTCATATATTTATCACCATTAGAAAGAGTTTATACCTTTTCAACCCCATAATCCTTGACTCCATTGTAGGTGTCCACACCATACTGTTTCACAGCATTTACTTTGTCCACAGTTGGCTGGATGGCATTGTTATATGCTCCCTTACTTTTTTCTATTACCTGTAAAATGTTCATGTAATTAAATGTTTGCAGTTCTAAAGAAATAATTTTCATTTTAAGTTTACTGGTAATTTTAAATCTTATAAGTGAAGTGTAAATATATATATATAACTGGCATTTTTCCTTTTTGAAAGAAGTGATCATCTAAATATTAATTAAGTTGATAACTTCACCTAGTTTTAAGACACCAAAACAACGACTGAACCTACCGTTTCAGTATCCTTGGAAATAATGGGGTACTTTTCTTCCAGTTTATCCAGCTGCTGGCAGGCAATGGCATTCACCTTCTGAACTAAAATCAGTTCAACAACACAAAATAATAAACACTTTATCTACAAAAGCATTCAGAACTCCCTAAAAAGTTCAAACAAAGTTTAAAATTCCAATCAAGAAACATTAAGATAAAGAAAATTGCAGAGAGACACATGTTCACGTTATATCAGTGCAACAAGGAAGGTAAAGCATTTTATCATAACATATATTATTGTATTTCCTTACTTGGCCCATCCAGCTTGCTAATGACAGGTTGGGCTGTTGTGTAGGCAGTCTTCACACTGCTCTCTGCCATGTTCAGAGTATACTGGACAAGGCTAGGGCTCTTCTCCTTGGTGCGAAGATAATAATCAGACACCTGGCCCCAAGCACTGGACACCACGGGGAGAGAGCTAACACGAGTGATGAATTGTTCTTCTGACATCTTTTTTTCTAAACTCTTCCGGTACATAACCTGTAACTGAATATTTGGTCACAATATAGACATCATGATAATAAAGGTGTAACTGTTAAACCAAATGTAAATTTGAAGTCATTACAAAAAGTAGAAAATTTCTACCACGTCTTCATTTTCACGTCTTCATGTTATGAACAGGCTTACACAAGTAGGTATGATCACCAGTTTCACAGGTGAACCATTGGTATCAAGAAGAGAGCTCTCCCAAAACACCCTTTTGTCGTTGGGTCTTCAAACGTACAACTAAACTGACATAGAAAATTATGAATATCAAGATCTCAAGTTTCTTATTAAACGCTATGTGAAGTTTGCAGGCTACTCTCAAGATAATTACTTCCTGGATCGACTTGAGAGAAGTGCTTGTAAAATTTTGATATTCCTTAATAAATTACACTGTAGATGAGCCAATACAAGCCATGCGCCACAAAATCACATTGTTCCATATTGTAAATATTTGCAAGAATACTTTGTAGCAAAGTGATCGAACACACACTGGTAATTCACAACGCAAACACACGCTTAGTTCAGAAAGGAATCAGAATATTTTCAGACAGTAAATAAGCATTTTTAATATTTCTATATATTAGTGAAAGAAGATTCTTAGGTGCAAGTGTAAAAATGTTAAAATCCCATATCCAATGCCCATATAAATTCCCATACCCATGTAAAATTCAACTTTTAGTCCCAACTGTGCTGACCTTGAAATAGCAAATATGATGACCTAAATCTTTAACAAAATGGAAGAACGTTTCTCGAAATTTCTAGGATTACCCCTGTCGAAATTATGTAGTTCTCAAAAGATATATTCCTTCCAAACTGTCTATTATAATGTAGCGCTGTTAGGTATTCAGGTCGTCTATATTACATAGCATTGCTCAATCGGTCAGTTCTATTAGTAGCCTAAAGCTTTACTTACTTGCCACAGGAGTTGTCACACGTCTGACTCCAGCTTCAAGACGAAAGTCTCTTTTCACTATTTATAGGTGGCACAAAGAAGAGAAAATTTTAGCCAATAGCATCTCTGCTCTCATTATCTCTAGGGAAACCAGTCCAATGGAAAGCTTTAAAACATCAATCATTATCTATGATTCACGATCACGAGTCCAAAGTCCAACCAAAAATTTTATTTCATCACCTTCTGTGACGATCAAAGTTGAATGATTACCAAAGGTCTTTTCCGTTTAGTTATTATGTTGACGCAGACTGCACTCAGTGGTTCGCGTTGGTAGAATGGAGATAAAAACAAGATAGGTTAAATCGGGTTTGCTAGCTCTCTCAGCAAAAAAAAAAGCACTTGCTTGAACCCCATAAACTCAGATTTATTTGATTTATCTTTGATAGACAAAGTTAAGATTACCCTGGAGATTTTGTTAATTCAGTTCTTTTACGACGTATAATATTAATGATCACGAAATTAGTTACCAGTGGTCAAAAATTTACAATCACCACCCAAAGTTTGGAACTATTTACATGATCTTACAAAGATGCTAATATTCCCCAACTCCATGGATCACGCTGTCATCATGGCAAGCACACGCCATGTCCAAACAAGTGCCATGCATCTCTTCCAACACAAACAAATCACTTTTCACCTTGGCACAGAGAGGAAAAAAGATATGAAAACTGGTATTTCAAGTTCCAATGAATGGCTAGCAGGCGATTTTCGCGGGCCATTACCAAACCTAGACAAATCACCTTCCCTTCGCTAGCAACCTGACACGTTGTGTAGACCCCCCCCCCCCCCCCCCCCCGGCCCAGGAGTGCCATACCAATGCATCAATTAAAGGGATACCCATTTTTCATCAACGAGTCAGCTGTGATCAAGCCTTCGATAACGGATCATAACATTAATTTCCCTTAGGTTCAAACACACAAAATGGGTAATCTTTTTTATAACCTGTCACATACTACTCCTGAGAATAAAGCAAGTGGATTTCATTTCTTTTCTCCAAATGTGCTATACCGAGTTATTATTAGGCTGAACTCCCCAAGCTAAAAGAAGGTTGTGTAGGTACATGTAGGTAGGTAGGTAATCCTGGCATTTTCTGTTTTACACACCATACATTCCACTGCGTTTGGAGTTACTACAGCGCGGATGCGGATTTAGAGAGGGGTCAGGGGGCCTTGACCCCCCTCGATTTCTGAAAAAAAATCTCACACCAATTGTCTCCGCTTGAAAATATAATTTTGAGTAGCTGAATCATAGTCCTAGACCGTAGTCTACCAAATGGCACCGTTTGCCCTTTAAAATACCATTCTTTTCGTAGTCCTTAAGCGGCCCACGAACCCCACGCCAAGGGGGGAGGAGGGGGGGTTCGGCTTCGCATCAGCTGACCCCCCCTCAAATAATCCTGGCTTTGTTCCAAATGCTTCCACAGAGTAATGTCCCCCTCCCCACTTGAATGTATCACTAAATACATAAAGAAAGCATTACATTTAATTAGTAACCAGGTTGGACGTTCCCTGAACACTTGGACCAGTCATGTACCTACTCCACACACGCATCATTTTGAGCGTATCTTTCATATTTACGTGACAAAAGGTCACATTCCAAAGACCAACAACCCACTCAGCTAACCCCCTTGATATATCTACTAACTCTTTCACTGAATACTGACAAATACACAGCCGATTCTTTCTTCATTTTTTTTATTCTTGTTGAATCACATTTCAAATATTGAAACACCATTGCTCAATTTGTCTGAGTTTTCTTTTTCCTTTTTCAACATTTAGTAAAGTTTCTTTTTATGAATTGAGCTGTTTCTTCTTCAAGGAGAATTTACTTTTTCCCCTTTCCCTTCCCCTTAGCTGGGGCCTTTCCTTTGGGCTTTGCCTCAGTTGTCTCTGGGGCAATCTGAAAATCAAGAAGTACAAGATCCATTATACATTATGTAGTTACATGCAATCCCATTAACTTTTGGAAAAACTATTGTTTGTGTTCTGGAGTAAAATTTATTGTGCAAGATAATCAAAACACAAAAAAATATCGAACGATCATAATTAAAGATTTAATTTTCAGGTGCCTGAGACTTACCCCTCTCTTCTTGTTGATTGCAGCCTGTTTGGCTTTTTTACGCTGCTCCTCTGTGAGGAGAGCATTTCTCTTCATGACTGCAGCATAAGGGTTGAGCTTCTGCATAACTCTGATGTTCTTCAATGGGTTCTTTTTCAGAACTCTACGTTTATTGTTTCTCCTGCAAAACATTATTAGCAAGAATTATAAATACCTCATGAAACCACCTCAAATATTGTAATAATCTCTAGTGTCAAAATAACTATATAGATGAAAACATGCCTTACTTTTACTCCGCAGAGTTTGCTGAAACAGCATTCACTAGTTTGAATTAAGGCTAACGTAGAGCTTTAACGCTACTAAAACACCAGTTAAGTCACTTTCATTTTAAACACCACAGCCTCGTTTTGTACTTTTGCAACTTTGTGACGACCCCTAAAACCAATGAAGTTAAATGGGCGAGTCACTCTGTGAATAGTAAAATAACAATATGCTCACTGTGGTGGTCTGACAACCCTCTGTATTTCATCACTCTTGAGAAGCCTGGACAGGTCACTGTTGGTCATCTTGGGCATGGGCAAGTTGTAATTGCTCTTCTCCTTGGATGCCTTACGCCAGGTGCCATACAAAGCATCAAGCTTGCGGAAAGCAGATTCAGTCCAAATACAGAAACGTCCCACATGCCCACCAGGTGCTATTTTTAGGAGGTTCAGTCTTGACACATTGATTAGTGTGATGCCTGCAAAGAGAGGAATAATAAAATTGTGGCTGTTTCCTGTCTATTGGGCTGGGATGTAAAGCACAGTGTACATGTCACAAAGATCAGCTCTTCAGTTGGTATCAGCTGTTATCAAAAACACGGACCTGAAGATTAATCTCATCATATTTTTGAAGAATTACCATAGGGCTGATATGTTTTTCAAAACTCTCAGGCAACTCCTGCCAATAGTAGTTACAGCACTGAATAACTTGCACTGAATCCAAAATGAACTATCCCTTGAATATCATTGTCAAAGATTAAAAAAATAAAATGTTAAGAATATTTTTCAAAATTATTTTACCTGGTATATTTCTAAAAGCCCTGGTTATTCCATTATCTTGATTGTAAATTACCAAAGGACCTCTTCTTTGTATGCGCCGACGATTACGCATTTTACCTTTTCCAGCTCTAAAACGTTTGGAATTGTAAACCTGAAAATAATTACTATATGTTTAAAATGTAGTATTACACAACCAATCTCTTACTCTTTGTCCAATTCCTAAAATATTTCACCACAACATACAGAGCTGCAATCTGAGCATATATGGATCTTTCTAATAAGGACTAGATTTTATTTAGAACAAACATGCTGTAAAATATCATGGGGGGAATAAGTCTGTTGACATTTTAATACTGGAAAAGAATTTGGACATCTCAAACTTAATTATTGGACTAACAAAAAGCACAATATCATATCATGTAGTAAATCACCTTTTGAATATCAGCCCAAGCTTTCAATTTTTTCAAAAGTCCCACAGCTTCCTTTGTCTTTTTGTATTCCTGGACTTTATCTGAGACAACTAGAGGTACCTCTGGGATCTCTTCAATGCGATGACCTGGAAAAGTCACACTTTTCTTTTAAGAGTGGTATTTTGTCAAAACTTATTTAGTAAATCTTTAAGCACTTGTGAATATAGAAAACATGAAGTTAGTGCAAAGATCAGATCTTCAGTAGTATCACTGGCTGTCAGAAACACGGACCATGAAGATAAAAGCTCATCACATCTATGCAGATTTTTAAATCTGAAATTTAACAATATATGACTATATTTAAACATTTCATTTTAGACATGATTAAGCAATATCTTTGAAGGAAATTACATGCAATTACATACCTTTAGACATCACCAGGGCGGGGATACCAGTGGCAGCTACAGCAGAGCAAATGGCATAACGTTTCTGGTTCACATTGACTCTGCGATGCCAACGCCTCCATGTCTTGGTTGGAGCAAACATGCGTCCTCCACGACACATGTTGCCAAAAGCACCTTGACCAGAACGATGGGTGCCACCTCCACGGACACGGGGAATACGTGCTACAGCACGACCAGTGCCCCATGACTCTGCAGATGTCTGGTGACCTGAAATATTTACAAATTATAAATTATCTGATATCTTTAGCTGAACTTGTCTAGCATATTTGTCTTCCATAAGGCATGTTTCAATATTATTTATCATAACAATAAGCAAAGATCAGATCTTCAATTACTATCACTTTCATCAAAAACACGGACCTGAAGATGCATCTCATCATTTCTTTGCAATAACAGTAAGCCTATTTGAAAAGAAACTGAACACATTAAAGATGAAAAATGACAGAGTAACATTGATTGTTGTCACTGATAAGATTCCAAGTATTCATCTCACCCTTATAGTAACTACATGTCAACTGGTTGATTTTTTATCAGAAATTAAAGAAACCAAATGTTCTTACCTGCATACTCATTGACAGAGTACGCTTGGCGTGCATTCTTCCTTATCTCTGCATGAACAAAGTTGACGATGTCGGGTCTGATGGGGGCCCTGAACACCGCAGGAAGAGTGATGTTTGATTCACTTGGTTCAGCTTTCTCGCTGTAAACCGTTATCAATGGCCTTGCCGCCTGTAAAACAATAGATGTCATGGTTCGTTGTTGAATGAAAATTGCCTGTTGCAATGTACTCCCAATGTCCCTTCCCTCCATCAATACGGTTACTTATGCTGGTCAACGCTTTAAACAATCACATTTATGTATTTGATTTGGGCACATCACTTACTTTAAAACAGACTACATAATATTTAGATTCATGGGAACTATCTAACTGTCAGGTGAACAAGTCATTTTCTCACCATATTTAGTGATTTTCCGGCCCCTTTTCACACACGTGTGATAACAAGATGGCCGTCTGGAAAGAGAAAGAAAGTAGGGCTAAAACAAATTAATGCGCGTTTATCAAAGAGAGAAACTTTGAGCTTTTACAAAAAAAATGGTGATTTCTACTTTCAGCTCTTTTGCCAAAATATCAGTCTTCAAAATATCGCATGTAACACTGTCCAAAATATGTCATTTAAAGAGCCCTAGATTATCATCGGATGGAAATTGGCAAGTGTAAGTACTCTGCCGCTCTTCAGCAATGGAGGAAAAATCACAGTATCATGTGAAGCACAACTATAACAATTTTTTTATTAAAAGTACAGCCAACACATCAGGTACAGCCCTGTATAAACAGCAAGCGGTGGTTAGAACACGAAAAGATGGTCACTGGGAGTCAATATTCACAATAAGAAATTTGTCATGTTTATTTACAGCGGAACTGTATTGTTATAATTTTTTCTTACACTGATGTTAGGTTACCCTTACTATAATGGCTTAACCATTAGGCCTATATGGGCCTTGGATTTAGGTTATAGGAAAAATTACCCAAAATTATTTTACAAATTACATAGTTCAAACGATTAAAAAATTCAGTCCTTGTTAAAAATTTCATTGTAAAATTAGAGTACATCAATAACTGGAGTATTTTTATTTATAATTATGTTTTTATCATATAGGCCTAGCAGTCAAGAAATTGGCATAGCCCTGATATTAAATGCTATGGTGATTTTATAACGCAAAATCTTTATTACCTTAAGTCTAACCATTGTTTAGACAAAACTATCAAACTGTCAGAGTGGTCCTGTCTACATAATCATTTTCTCATCAATCTTGCCATAGTGAATATATGAAATTCGAATCGTATCATATCGTACATGACGTTTAAGATAAACACTTATCTATGGGACATTCACATTATATTATTTATTGAGAAGTTCCATGTACTGTTACTCGTTAAGAGTCCTTTATTGAGTTCATTCGCAATATCTCCTTCATTTGTTGCCTTAACGATATTACATAGGCCTGTTTAAACAATTCATCTGTTCATCAAATGTGTCTCCTTTAGGGTTCAAATATAACACGTAACAGACGATCTTTGTTGATTTATTGAATAGATCACTAAAATGCACTCGACTCACTGTCGATTCCTGCTCTTGTTGCGTACTGCGAGATGATTGTTAATTGAATTATCGCTTGTGCATCGATTCCGTGCCGCATAACAGGTTTCTCGTTCTCTAGTGGAAAAAAGGATGAAAACCCATTTAAGCTCTAGCAATTTTGACTCGATTTTGCATATCTAGTGGAAATCCGCTAAGCGAAATTGCGAGAGTTAAACCCTGTCGGAAATACAATGTAGTTTTGACTTTTGTATAGGCCTATCTAAAGTCACCGAGGGACCCGGGGGTTGGGGTAGGGACTGCCGCTTCAGCTATCATTATTGACAACTCAGACGGCGTGAAGTCATCCCTGTTGTGCTATTTTTAGAGCTACAATGAAAAAATGATCGTTCTAGGTTAATATATGGAGACAGATCAAAGACCTGACTTTTATGCTAAACAAACCTTATTTCCCTACGGATTTCCATGATGTCATATATTGTTTCACATTCATGAACTTCAAAGACGTACCCTGAAATTCAGTGAACTTTGATTGTAATTGCCCATTGCAAACTCTTCATAATACAGTATGTGTGCGCTGAACAGGGTAAAGAGAGGAAGACGTGTATAGAATTTTGGGGTTTCTTTCTTTGATCAAAACACACGGCGCCGCTCACAAGAAGCAGTGCAAGTTTTCAATGTAAGAAATATTTTCACCTTGGCATGAATCATTCGAGGTCTATCATATAAGTGGAAATATACCGCTGTGGATTGATCCGTTGTGCTGTCATTGGTTTTATTTTCCTGATCTCAAGGGAACAGCTTATGACGTTATCAATGTTAGCACATCCCAGAACACTATAGGGGATCAATTCCAGGTTACTCTTGTTTTGCAACAGAAAAAAGTTATATGTTTTTCAAAGCAGCAATACGGTTTCTGAACGACAAACTGTTTGGTAACAAGGGCAAAGTCTAGGCTTGAAAATGTACTGGTCAAATATACATGTCAACCAAACAAACGGAAAATAAACTGCGGCGGGGATGTAGACTTAATTGTTTCGATTAAAACCAACTGTTTCAACTGAAATATAGCCGAAATAAGCTATAAAAAGTAGCTTTTATCCGTATTTACAATTGGCTCAGTCATGCCTCTATTTATACAAACCCTTCACCAGAACGAATTTCATTAAAATAGACTCTATATTACATGTCTATTTACAAGTATATTACATGTCGTGTATATTTTGAACATATACCAGTTGGAAGAAGTTGCTAGCATTTTATTTGCAGCTGAACAGCTGTTGCATTATTTTGAACATCTGAACGCCGTGTCCTTGGCATTGGCACGCAGTCATATCAACAATTCAGATGAGCTGCGCGCATGAGAGCCACTGAATGATATACTGGCAAAGTGAAGCTCTTACAAGAAGGGTGACGTCAAAAAATGGGACTGTTTTAAAGAGTCTTAGTTCTAGGTTACACGGCATCCCCTTTTTTCAGATACTGTAGGCATCATTGTTTGCTCGTTTTATCATCCACATGGCATCAACTTTATGATACAGATTTTGTAGAAGTTAAATTATTTCCAAATCGGATTCAATTTAATCAACTGCGTTTAGATGTAAAAAAATCAATGGGCACATATATTGTAGGATGATTTTCAAAAATGATAAAATCACACAGAAATACTGAGAGGTCGTTTTCAATGTGCTGCACCGAGGAAGCGAGCGTTCATCTCCAGGGGGTGAAATCAAATACTCAAACAAATAATTGACAACAAAAATTAAACAAGGCCTAGCTTTCTGTTAAGAGGTTAAAATTATATAACAAATTCAACATTTTCTATTTTTCAAATGAATATGGCGACACCTACAACGTCTCAAAACAGCGAGAGACAGAGCATTGATTTTACTAAACAAAAGTATTAGTTGTTCTAAAAGCGTTTGGGTTAAGTGTTTTGAAGTAATGGAAAATATGCAATTGGGAAACGACACAAATAGTAAGGCTATCTTAAATAATTTAAAAATTGTTATGTTAATGTAGGATAACAATTCGCCCCTTTGCCTTTAAAAGCTACCCTGGACGTTAGATTCTCGCAGACGATCCTGTCTATTTCTCATCTGCCGCCAGGAATTGTAGTCTCTGACCGCGAGCCTCATTTTTTCATGTTTTTCACGTTAATCAAGATTGGATATGTATTTTATCATATTTTTCCAACTGTGATGATATTGCTACATATCCCTATATTCTGTTTATCGCCCTAACAACCAGAATAGTTTTACTGATAAAAGTGGATGACAGCTGCAGAAATATTGAAACAAATACAATTCATGATGAAAGGAATATTATTCATGTTTCACAACTGCAGTAATGTATAGTAACATATGTTAATATCTTCTAACGCTGCGAATTCACCGTGAACAATGAAAAGGAAGAACTGAATTTGCAATTCTGACTTTGTATGTAATCTTTTTTTTTTTTTTTTTTTTTCAGTTATTTTGGATGAGTTTTGCCACCTCTCACTGGTTGCGTTGGACAATTTGGGTGGAACGCCTATTATCTGAATCAGGTGCAGTCACGCCATTTCGATTTAACTTATGCCAACGTATGAATGATTTGGCGAATGCGCTGGCTTACGTCGAATAAGTTACGGGAAAGGTTTGTATTAGAGTACACTGAAGCACGATGGTATACTTCGTAGAACGGCGTCAAAACTGTGAGAGCGCCAAATTTTCGAGGTTATGGATTAGACTTCTACAGTGCGTATAAGTATAAGCATTTGGAAGCGTGTTGGTATTCGTTATACACTGTGTAGTACGGCGAGTTGATCGCCGAGAATGTGACCCCACAATATCCGACGCATGCCAGCGTAAATGGCTCTTACGTCTCGCATTCGCGGGTCTTACGTTGTTGGCATGTTACGCGATCGTTGTGCATTATCATATCAAGATATTAACTGTTTGCGCTTTATTTTTTTCATTCTATTTCGACAAACAAGCAAACTCGTCCTTGTATAAGGCGTAGGTGATAATGGAGTTTGCTGTGGATGGTTTATTCCAGGACAGTTGTTTTATTTACGAACTTCTCATTTTAAATCAATTTCTGGTAGGCACTTACTGAAGCCTGCCAATGCAACAAAACTGACATAATTCAGCTGGCAAATTAGGAAAGAGTCCTAATTTGCCAGCTGAATTATGTCAGTTTTCAGCGCATATTTCCTCTTACTTTTATCATTTCTAAACATTTTAAAAGGCTGCATTTGATAAGATACCCCTGTTTATTACTTCACCACTTAAGCACAATTACATGTATGAATACCATTGCGTTAATTATTAATTAATCAGTCGCGTAGGAAATGTGGTAGGCTTATTATATTTTTCCAGTTTCTTCCTTCCAGGTCTTAATCGTTTTATTTTTACCCCGTAGTCAAGGCTGTTTAGAATGATTTACCACAACTGACCGTATGTCTTGGGCGCTTGCGGCGTTCTAACGTAATTATCCCGATAGATACACGGCCGCAGTGTGTATTCGCGATGTGAGGCGAAGTTGTGAACGCTTTTCGAATCAATGCTGTAGTTGTAAAACATAAACTACCTGATTTTTCTCATTTCGTTAAGTGCAGTTGGTAATTATAAAGGTGCATGGTAAGTATTTCTTTCCGTGCGTGGTTCCGTCATCACTGTGCCGTCATCACTTCACTGCCTGGGGTGCCAAACCTGCCACGTGCTTCATCGATAATCATGCAACTATTTTAGCTAGCTCACCGCTATTGGTTTGCCAAGGTTTTATGTTAACTTTTAACACTCACGTTATAGTCTCATTCAGTGAATATTTACAATCCAAATCACACCGGAGAGAGACACATTCGCCAGTTGGTAAGTGTTAATTTTTTTATTGTTTGAAGCTAAAGCGACAGATTGTGTACATGTTTGTGTGAGTGTGTGCGCATGTGTGTGTGCATGAGTGTGTGTTTGAGTATATGTGTGCGCGCGGGTGGGTGAATGGGCATGTACACTTCTCATTGTACTCCGTAATTCACTTGCACAGGTGCACAGGGAGATTTTTTACTACAAGAAACTGACCTATTTATTAAAGTTGAACGGTTGTTGATCTGATTTTTATGATTCAAGCAATATCTTTGTAAGGGTCTCTGATGATGGTATTATTCATTTTAACCATTTGAAGTCGCGTTATAATAATGATTTTTTTGTCGAATCGCATTAACTTAATATGAGGAGAAGCAAATCCCAAATGAAATTGTCCAGTCAATATTCAGCACCCTAATATGCGGCGACTGTGACAAACATCTTACCACAAACCAAAATGAGTATTGAAAAGATAAATCCTTTACTATACATTCTATCAAAAATGATTACATTTTGAGTTGAGAGTTGAAATTCTGAACTATATAAACTATCTCTTTATCTCATTTGTTGTACGATGATAAATTCGGTATCTGCCGTACGATGCCGAAAATACGGCTGCGTCAGTAGGAATAACTCGGTGCAAACTTGCCTAACTTAATTTCACCTGCTACAAGCTTCTACCTGTTAGGCGTAGCTATGAAAAAGCATCGTTCAGAATCAATATAAGGGTGTATTCCCAGAGATTTAGATCAATCCAGGGATTAAGATTTAGATCGACCTAACTCCCTGGGGGTTCACGCTAAATTGCAGTCAGCCGAGCGCGCACCATAGTTAATTACCCCCTTACAGCTTTCAGTAGGCGGGACAGACGCTTAAGCCGTCTAAGCTGACAGTAATCTAGTGAGACTTCCCACAGGGATAGATCGATCTAAAATCTATGGTAATGGGGTCTAAGGCATCGATATTTCAAGTGTTTGCTTAAAAATCTGTATGTAAATCATTTCTTATAAGGAAAATGGGAATCATCCGAAATAGTCTCACGACTTATCGTAAAATCAAGTATATTTAATGAGATCTATTAGAGAAAAAGGCCAGAAATAATGGCAGACTAGCGAGTGCGGTGCGACAACGAATAAAAGTTAACAGAATTTATCTAGTATTTTGACTGCAATGTGTGCTAGACACCCCAGAGATACAGAACACTATAGTTAAAGGGCTCATTCCCAGTGCAGCTATCGTTCTACGTAGATCGATCCAACTCTGAATATAATCAGTATTAACAGATTAACGCGACTTTGAGAAGAATCCAAGACAGCAAGTGATTATACGAGTGAGTTGGAAACAAGAGGACGCGTAAGTTGATTGCATTAAGCGAGGGTCTACGCTGAGTTGGATCGAACTCCGTAGAACGATAGTTTCATTGGGAATGAGCCCAGAGGTACCTCAGCCGATACCTCGGTCACGTAGGTTGGCCACAGCTGATGATGTGTAAGAGTCCTCTTTAATTCTCACAACTAAGGATCGGTTTTGCTACATGTTTCTTTCTCGTTATGGCGTTATTTTGTTTGTTCAAGATTTTCTGTGCTGAATTTCACCACAGTTTACTCCAAATGATCTAATGGCATAGCTTTGGCATTGTTATCTTATCTCAAATAGTGTCCAACGGTTAATCGTTAATGAGACTTCCACCAAAGCATTAATTCAATGATTTAAGAACATAACACACATTGGTCAATATACCCACTAGGGAGCTGAAGGGTCATAAATCAAAACTTCAGGACGTCGGATCCTGGTTGTTTCGAATGGAACGATGCATCATTGTTGTCAAAATAACGAGTAATGAACTAAGCATTAAAATAAATACTACACCAGAACATGTTTTTCGCATTTTCAATACTTTTCTTTTCATAGCCATTAATGTATTCAAATTTAGTAACCAAGCGTTTTTAAAAATATATTTTATTTTACTGCCAATATGAGGTCCCTTACATACAATCGAACATTTTGTGTTTATGAGAAAAATCCAAGGTCACCTAACGTTTTCGTTACGAACGATTTGTTTTTCTTACGCGACAATGCTGTTTATCGGTTTTACAATCACCATACGGAAAATTAAATTTCTGATAGATATTAAGGTTAGTGTATCAGTAGGATCCCCTCGGACCCCTGGGAGCTATGTAGTCAATGCTTTCGTACTCATTGCTTTCTTCATGGGTGAGCAAGGATAACCATTTTTTTATCCTCAACATCCAGAAGCTTGGGTTAATGACACAACTCAATTATTGAATATGAACTTGTTTTAAAATACTTTCATGATGCTTGCGTTTCTTTTCTGGAATTAAATCTGACTCTCCGATATTTCTTACAGGTGTCTGCTGCAGTGCACATTTCCAGATGAAACTGATCAGCGTTAGCACTGATACAGCTTGCCTTTTAAATCCGTTAAAGGCTATGTTTGTTTCTCTACATTCTTTTATGCGGGCAAATTACTTTTGCAATTAATTTGTCCCGAAAATAAGCTGATACTGCTACTACTATTACTACTACTACAACTACTACTACTACTACTAGTAGTAGTACTACCACTGCTGCTACTACTACTACTTCTATCAAACAGTGAAAAGAGAGAGAGAGAGAGAGTGAAAGTGAGAGAAAAAAAAGAGAGAGAGATGGGCCTATCTTTTATTTTTTCAAAGATGTTACAGAATGCTCAACGTCCCTGTGTTGGTTTTTCGTGGTCTGTGAACTGCATGGTTGCATTTTTGGTGTCTTTTGACATAGTATTAAAAATAATCAGACAATAAAACAGCATAGCCTTCAGGCAGTGTCATTCTTAACCAAAATCAACTAATCCAAAGTCGAAATCTTAAGGGAATAGAAACATCCATTTAATTTTTTTCTAGTCCGATACAACCTAGGCCTACTATTCTGAAGTTTTTTTTACTTAATCGGCTCAAAAACAACCTATCAGTTGCCCAGGACGACTGGCTAGCGTCGTAGATTTTAGTCAAATACATGCAGTTTATATGCAGTTTCGACATTATTGCCGAATACAGTGGTATTATTATATGTTAGAGTAATTTAAACTAAGACGTTTGAAAGCTGTTTGAAATAGACAAAATTATACCAACTACATGATATATGACTAATTACATCCGAGTATATAATTGTATTTTCAACAGGAAATTACTTCGGCTGCTATAACTTGCATCATTTGTATATTTTTTCAGGAAATCCCCTATGAAAGATTTGTAAAGATTAGCGAAGATTAGTATCGAGCCATTCTGCATATATCCCGATATTTCTTTTGGGGTAATTGTCCGTCATTGTGACATAGATTCCTGAAAATTATGAAATCAGTTGCGTCGAAACTTCCGATGAAGTACTGCATAATCAATAAAAAGTCCGCTTATTTCATTGAATAATATACATAATAAAACACCCATGTAAAGTTCAAAAGCGACGGAGCCGATGTTAAAGATGAAATCAATAACATGTTGGCACATCCTTGTGATTGCCTTACAACAGGTTGTATGTAACAGGTATTGTTTGTTCGCTAGTTATTAGATTATACTGCCCATTAACCGTTTAAAACCTTGTATGCCGGCAGATGGTCAGTAAATTTACGTGTTTCCTTGAAGTAGATCAGCTTGAGTGTCCAGGAGATGGTTGTCACGGTTTTTCCCGTCATGTAACCCGTCATTTGTCAGCACGAGGCATATGCTTATGTTAAAAATAGGGCCATTTCATTTTTCTCGCAACGTTCTCATCGCCCAGTTAGGTTTATGCTACGAGCAACTTGATGATAAATATTATATTTTCGCAGAGTACTCAGTGCTGTTTAATTTTGGTTCGTAACTCGCCAGGTTCCCTGCTTACAGGTATATTCTGTTACAGCAAAGAGTCAGGTTAGTTTATCTATGGAAACGCCGATGTTTTTAAATATACAAACCCTAGCCCTTTAACGTAAGCGGCTTGCAGTAAATGATATTCGTTTTTTTTTTTTTCTTTAAAAAAGTAACAAATAAATTAGATCTCTCACCGCGTGAATTTTTCCCCGAAGAGAGGACTGATTCAAACGTCTTGAGATGTTTGAACTCATCTGTTTTGGCATACGTTTGGGTTGGGCTTGAACTGTTAAAATAATCAAACCGTCCGACAGAGATCAAATGCAGGTCTAATTTACTTAAACCTAAACTCCACAGGGAAGGTAAAATTAACAAAAGTGCAGTAAATAAATGAACCGCGCTGTCACTGATGCAGTTTTTTTAAAGTTTAGTTAAGAGTTTAAATGTTGATTGGGTACTAATCGTGTACCATCACTAATAACGAAGTTGAACGTCATTTAAAATTTTTAAATTAGGATTTACACATGTCATATACATATGCAAAAAATGTGACTTTCATGATTCTTGCAATCGATTTTCCGTAACACAGCAAAAACTTTTTCGAGTCGACCATATGGCTAATGATTTTGTCAGAATCAATTAGTTTCAACCCTTCCTAACATTCGGAAAGTATTAACTCTTACATCTTAACTGCGCCCTCAAACACGTTTCAAGCAGACATGTACCTAAAGACATTGATGCTTGGGTAGCAAAAATCATTGATATTTTGTGCACAAACCACATGCATTATATTAAGAGGTGTAAGAGAAATGCTCAGTCCCTGCTCATGCTTCTCGCCATTATTTACCAGCAGACACGATCAGGCCGTGACTCTCACATAGACAAACCCTTAAATCAATCATTTTATTATATCAAATGTGGAATATTTACGTAATCCGGCCAACCATTTCTTTAAATGTGCTTGTACATCAGTCCAAATAAGATGTACCTTTATCTCGAATTTTATCTTATTTTTAGACCAGAATGAAATCTTATTTTTCATCGAAACATTGATGGAGGAAAAGTATGGATTCACGCGCAGGACATTACTGCATTTTACTCTGGTCGTGCGTGAAAATAGGTTAATTTCATTTCCCAGAAAAACGCCTTTCGGCTGATGTG